CCATTTCTCTCACTTACCTCACGTAGAATGAATATGAGTATAAGTACTTACTTACATATATAAATACATAATCTCTATATAACATGCGTGTTCGAAAGCATAAATTTTATTTTTCATTTTTTACATTCGCGATTAAGTTCTTTTTTTACTCTACGACTGCTGCTTTTTTTTCCTAGCAGCACTGTTGGAATAAAAAGTAAAGAGATTTTTTTTTTCTCTTTCATATTTTTCCTTTCCATTTTCACTCTGGCTTGTATGTGAATGGAATTAAAGTAATGAACGTTAATTATTATGATTCCTTTGAGTGCTTAAGTGAATTCTTTTCTTTTCTTCTTTTATTTCTATTTTAAAAAGAAACTTTTTACATTTGTTGCTGCATTTGAAGTCTTGTTGAATTGAAATGAAATTAAACAGTGCTATTGAAGATTTATGGCATGGCACCAAATTTTAATTCACTTCAATTAAAGTGCTTGAATGTGGAGGTAAATTGTAAGATTTTACTGGGGAACTGTTAAACTTGATGTCGTTTGAATCTTTAAATTACATATTTGTAAAATTCTTAGCAAAGGATCAAGAGAATTAAACAGAACTGATTGTAAACTTGCAATATTTCACAAAAAATTGTTCTTTTTTTTCTCATAAAGACAAAAAAAATAAAACTAAGAGATGGATTTTACTCATTACTTAATTTAAGGTACAGAATTTATCTTCATCAGACAAGATGGATTATCGTGAAAGAAAAATGAGTGACCATTTTTAACAGTCACTTTAATTTCTACGAGCTGAAAAATTTCCCCTAAAATTGTTGTGATTTTTTATTCCAATTTGATTTATGTTCGACGCACTTTTAAGGAGATTAAGATTTTTCTGAAGAATTTGAGATGTTTTTAAAAAATTTAATGGATGAATTTTGAGTACGTCCCAATTTAATGATGATCGCTTTTTATCTTTAAAAGCTTGATAATAGAAAATAAATCCTGAATTGATATAAACAATTTTCTTTAAATAAATTGAAGAGCTTAATGGCAAGCTATTATCTTAATGAGATATATTAAAATATTTTACAAAAAAAAATCAACTACCTAAAATAAAACAAGTAATCGCATTAATTCAAGCAAAAAACCATTAATTTCATGCTGTTCAAAATAAAACATTTTAATTTTCCTTTCAGCTTTACAAATGTATTTTTAAGTAACCTTATAAGCAACAATAAATTACAGAGGGATTAATATTTTCATTAAAGTATTACAACGTTTTTCAAGAAACATCCATGTAAATGTTAGAACATTTTTATTAACCACAACAGAGCTTAAGTTGTTATTAGATGCATTTATAAAACTCTATTAACTTTAGAAGCTTTTATTTAGTGCATTTTGAGGTTAATGTTAAATACTAATGTAATGAATCCTGAAGCAGTGGGTTGAATCATATTATGTAAAGGTTATTTCTCAAATGTTTAATGCATGATCAGAACGTTTAATCTAAGTTACTTTTAAAGACATGGCAACATTCTTATTATATAGTTGAAAATCATTTCCTTTGAATTTAATTAACAGTTGAATACATTGAATGCTCACGTGTTAAGTAAACACTTCCAAGAAGGCTCAATGATATTAAATTTTCTCAAATTTCATGAACATTCTCGTAAAAGTATACTGTTATTAATTGAATGGAAAACTGCTCGATGAATTGCTTTTAAAACTTTTTAAGATGAAAAATTTTTTCGATAAAATTCATTCTATCCAGTACAATAAAAGCAAAACGAATTTCGGCATGAATTTTCGACAGAACAAAGCTCAATTTAAAATGAAAATTGTTAAGATATTTTTTTAGATAGCTCTTAATAATTGGATCCTTAATGAGTTTTAATTTTATTGAATCTTATTCTAGGAAGATCTTAACTTTTGAATTTAGTCTACCTAAGTATGGTTGTGAAATACTTTTCTTGAATATTATGATTTTCAATACGCACCACTATCTTTCCTTAAAATCTAAATATATCAAACTACCTCATCTCAGCATTTAAATTTATTTCAGCTAATAAGTAATTACAAAAACCACAGCGAATACTCATTTAATGATTTTCCAATCATCTAAATTATATCTTTCACAATATCCTTAAACTTGTGTTCATTGTTATTGATTCATATGTTTTAAATCATTCTCTAATAAATCAATTCAAATTTAGATGCGAGATAGAAGCTGTAGCAAATTTACTAAGCAACGTAATTGAAAAAAAGCCTCAGAACTATGATAAATTATTCACCAAACATGCGATGGGAGACGAAAAAGCGACATTTTTCTCTCGTTCAATATTAAAAATTAAATATCATTAGTGGAACAAAACACACTTGTACAGAGATGAAGAACGAAAAATGAGGAGACACAGATGATGGTAGAGGAAAAGGCCCAACTAAGAAGATTTGAAATAAGAGTAATTATGTAGCAATATTTCATTGGAAAAAGGGTGAAGAATCAGAAGTAAAAACTTGCCAACATAAAATTTTGCATACTCAACTTAATTGAATGTGCTTTTTCACGCTTTATAAGCTGTTCTAGTTCTAACCTTTATAAAAAAGAGAATAATCCCGGGTGGACACAGCCAGTTAAAGTCCATTATTGGACAATCATTTAACAGTCTTTTAACTTGTCGAAATATATACGATATAGAGAACTATACGTTAACTAGACTTTAACTGGACATTCATGCTAATCAATCAAGTGTTCGAAACTCAAAAATAATTTTCCTTACTTTTTTGACCATATACTTCACAAGCGCTTACAGAAATCACTTATATAAGGTCCACCAAAATTTGTATGAAACTTTTAAGTAAATATAATTGTTTCACGCGCAAGTGTTCGAGACTCAATTTTTACTAGAGATTTTTGATAAGTGTTAGTGTACTTTAATTAATTAATTACACTAATACAATAATAAAATTTTACAAATGAAAAAAATATGGAGAAAAATACACGTGTTATTTATTTTATTTTGATTTTTTTGTAACTGGACATTTACTAGACATATTTGCAATTCCTATGTCCAGTTAAATGGAAAGCGCAAAATATGTCATTAGTCGTCCCTAAGTCTAGTTGCAAAGGCACGTCAATGGATACTTACTCGCCGTGAACAGGCAAGTCAATGGCAAGCTTTTAACTAGTACTTTGTCCACTCGGGAATATTTGTGTTGGATTATCTTCATAAGTAATAAGCCTGTCCTTTGTCAGCAAAAATACAATTCAATAGAATAAAAAAGAATGCTAGTAATAATAGTACACACATATTTTAATGGAAAATCTTCAGTCTATGCCAGTCTATGTATAGATATCATAGCAAAGCCATAAAGAAATTGAAGATGCATCAACATTCGAGGAGGTTGCTCAAGAAATTTAGTAAACTTTCAACTTATAAAATAGTCGTTTCGAAAAGGTTTCGGTTCTTATTAAAAATGAGTTATCAGATATTCAAGCCAAAAACCGATTTTCATCACGTTTAAATGTTTCACAACCGCAAAAATCCCCTGTAATTGACTTAAATCCTCATTATCATCGCATATACATAATTTTAATCAGAATATAAATTAATTTCTGTAATTTAATTGTATTTTATGCGTTCCTACTTCTATACAGGTTGTTTGATTAATTGTTTTTTTTTTTTGCTTTAGTTGTCAATTAAAAAAGCTCGCATTTTTGTGATATTTCTAAAGCAAAACCCAATTTCATGTAAAAAACTATAAGAATGACAAGATTTTAAGTTTTCCGTTTAATTCGAACAAATGGTTTAAAAACGTGTAATTTGTGATTCGATACACAAAACAATCTATAAATACAGAAGAAAAAAAAAATTTGCAAAACTTCAACAGAAGCGTGTAAAAGAAAGAAAATCTTGAGAACCATAAATGTCGAAAGCATAACCGTTGGATAATATTTGATATTTTTATGCTTGGCGAATATTAGGTTTGGGTAATTTTAGCGATATTTTGAAACATTTATATCCATGTTAATAGCAAAGGAATTCTTATAGCATACATTTAAGGGGTAAATAAAATGGAATAAACTTTAAATCTTTTAATTAAAACTCTGGAATATAATCAAGTTTTCTCAGTTTAAAAATAATTGGATCAACAATATTACTAGCGATTCCACTAGTAAACGATATTGAGATTTTTTGAATGACAATGTGGGTGTCAATCGGGTGGGGGGGGGGGGGGGGTCAGGGTTATATATTTTCCAAAGCCATGTGTAAAGTTTTGTGAATTTTGTGATACCGTTTATTTAGGCGTTCAATCATTCTAGGCTTAGTATTTTTGTGATGATAATATCTTCAAGTATGGTCGAGGAAAAATTTTTAATTTTTTGTTTTGACGAGTATATTTTAATCGATTAATCAAGCCTTGCAATCTTGCTTTACGAAATTTCAAAAAATCTTTTTTAAATTCTTTCTTTTGTTTGGTTGCGACTTGAAAACTTTTCTTCAACACGCTTCTTTTTATTGTTTGTTTTGATCGTTCATTCACAAGCTTTATTGATACTTTTTTCATAAATTCTCATATATACAATAGTCCAGAGAGTTTAATGCTCTAAAGAAGAGAGAAATGTGAACTTTTCCAATAGTAATCAGTGCTAAATATTTTCTAGTAATTTCTTCATGACTCTTTGTCCTGTGATTAACTGGCTTGGATATAATTTAATTAAGTTTTGATTGAATTATTGCATAAATTTTATTGTCAGTGTGGTGTTTATAGTTTTTAACCGGTTCTCCTAATTTTTAAATTTTAAGCCTAAAATCTTGCTGTAATAATTTTAATTAAATTATGCAAAAACCACAGCATTAGAGCATATCCAACTCTGCGCAACATATGGAATAAAACGTGAGAATACGATAGAAAATCGAGAAACAGAAAAAAGCATGCACACGATTCAATGAGAGTGAAAATTTGTTGTTGTTTACTGCTTACTTTTTTTTCGGCGAGTGAACATTCTCTTGGTTATTGAAGTCGTATCTTCCGTGGCTTATAGACGTACTTTTTTTACTACCAGAATACAGTATAGAAAAAAAAAAGTTTATAGCTTAATTTAGTGGTTGGAAAGATAATGAAATCAATCCATTGAATATTTTGTGATAATAATTATTTCTGTGTGTAAATATATTAAGGAAATAAATAATTTGTGTGTTATAAAAGGAGCAATAAATTGAGAAAATGGGACCAGTGGAGGTAATTAATTTTTTTTCCACTCAATTGATACCTGTAGTCAAGTCATATGACATTTATCTTTAAAAAACAGTATGACATGTTTCCGTAGTGCTGTTATTAAAAAGTATATGATAAACAATAAGAGCAGAAGTGGAGGAAAATAGCTCGTTGAACTGAAAAATCACTTTCATGTTTATATGTGAACTTTTTACAATCTGCCTTTTTTTTTTTGCAAATAACAATTTCAAGAAAAACGGTCTGTGCTTAAAATTGTAAAATTTAAATTAAAGTCATGAATTGTGTGTGGTTTTTCTCACGAACTAGCATTCACTCAATTACTTCACAACTTTGTGAATATCGAAGCTTTCAAAATACATTATTTTCGGAAAATTTACATCAAATCATTCTTATTTAATATGACTCTTTGAATATACACACTTAATTCATTATCATCGATCATAAAAAAAAGTAAATTTCGCAATTGTATTGAGGGAAATTTTTTACTGCTTCCATTTAATTTATTTATTTCTCTTTATCTAATCTTGAATTTCTGAAGTGAACGCGTAACGAAAAATACTTGAAAAAGCCATTTAGTACATTTTGGCGATAATTGTGCTCGATTTTTAAATTTAAGTTTCTGACGGAAAAGTTTCTTCCAATTTCTTTGTGCTTCAAAATTTCCGTCTTCTTGCTTATTTGTGCTTTACACTTGATGCCATTATACCGTTGTTGAGAATTGGTAGTAGCTAAAGTGTATAGTATTTTATTTTAAAGATTAATGCCCCGTTACGTTATAAAAACTCACCCTTTTGGAAAATTTGACCCAACTCTTTGCGAATAATATTAAAAGATCATGTTGGATAGATCATAAGGCAGTTAACGAAATAGAAAAAAAAATGTATTAAGGATAATTTTAATATTTTATATGTGAAAGTTTTTATTCCTCTTACATAAAGATTTTTCATACCTGCTTGTAGTTAGATTTCATTTGATGTCCATTGATCAGTCGGCAGTAAATAGATATACATTGAAAATTATAATGTTTCATAGTCTAAGAGGTATTTGTTCGTTGTAATAATAAGAAATTTCTCTCTCTTTAAATCCAAATGCTATTTGATGGAAAAGATTAATACAAAACCATCAACTACACATCAAATTGCTTCCCTCTTCTGTTTCTATTGTGAAGCTCAAACTTTGTATCATTCTCAGTTTGGCTTGGAAGAATTAAAGCTATACTATATCAAGCTTGCAAATGTATAACTTCCGTCCAAAACATTTGAATTATTGTGTTCTAGAACCTTAAAATATCATTTGGACTGTTTTACAATCAGAATAGGCTGATCAAGTTTCCAAAACTTTTAGTCTCAGATGTTACTTTAAAATTTCGTTCAGCTGTTTTGGATCCACATATAAATGAATGAAACATAACTGAAAACGAAATTTAAAAGTCATTAAATTATTAAACATCATTACATGTTAGCATAAAATTTTTCGTTAACCATAACTTCTCGCCATAAATAAATTAAGATTCTTTTCGTTGTGGTCTCGTTATTATAAAAAACTATATCCACGAATGTAACTGTACACAACAAATCGTGATCATGAAATCAATTCTTAATAAGTTTTTGTGAAATAAAGAAAACTACAGCAGATTTCTTGAATTTGTTCATGGAGGTCATGAACATTTGTTTTACATTATTTTGTTTGAAATCGATCTAAATCTCTTAATAATTTGTTGACTAATTCACCTGTAATAGAAGTGTAAAAAAAAGTGTACAATATTGAAGTGAAATAAATAAAGTACATCCTCCACTCTGGGACTGAAAAAATATCCAACCATTCAACCATTCACTCATGCATATTTCCGGTTTCACTTTTATTTGAGACACGGCAATGCTCTTTCATGTGTGCAAACACATTAACTTGTATAAATTCTCTCTCTTTCATTCCTCTATCCAACTATTTAATGCAAAATAATTTGAATGGCTTCATTCAATTCACGAAAAAAATGGAAGAGATACATACAAGAGACTATTATGTTAAGTTGTTATTTTCTTATTGTATGCCAAAAGAATGCTGACATAAAATAGACACGAAAAGAAGAAAAATACTTAAAATCTGATAATGATCGGTTAATGACATTAAGAAGGAGAAGCATAAAAACCAAAATAATAAGAAACATGCATGCCGAAATGAAGAAGAAAAAAAAACAAGCCACAGTAAGATTTCAATGTAACGAAAATAATGACCTACTTTTACGTTTCTTTTTTGTGCTGGCCAAAAAGAAGCAATCAATGTGAAGGTAATTCGTGGAAGAAGAACATTGAACGCCATTTAAAGCTGCAGCAAAACGCATTTATGCTTCAATGAAATTGTCAAAATTTATTGCCTGACATTTTAAAACTTTCAAAGTTGATCATTTCAACTCTAGAGTTTTAAAAGTAAGCAAACGGTTTGAATTATAGTATGAAAACAAAAATTTGATTAGATTGCAAGAAAGTAGATTTACAGTTCAGAGCACTGACGATTGTGCAACAATCTTGTTAAATAAATTTATTTTATGAAAGTCAATAATTTAATTTCAACATCCTGAAAAATCCAGTTTTGAAGCAGAAAAGACAAATGCTTTTACTTCCTCGCAACAACACCACCCACAAAGTCAAAGTGTGTCTGTAAAAGAACATTGTTAAGCAAAAGTCCGTTCCAAAAAAGAAAACAATGTCAAATGGTTAAGAAGAGTTTGCTGGTGTAATATAAGAAGAGAAACACGTGATTGGTAAGAAGAGAGAAAATTGTTCAATTGAACCAACCAGTTTTTCCACTTCGATTTCATTCAATTATCTTTTATTAGAGGCAGCACTACACAGAGAGCAAGAAGAAAAAAAAAAAAGTTTCACTTTAATATTAAAAAATTACAATTTTTTCTTTTCAATTGCAAACATCATCAACATATTATATTAAAATAATATTAATAATGATCACATGAAATTTAAATATGAAAAAATAGAAAAAGAAGTCAAAGAACTTGCACCAATATTTTTCATCCTTTCTCTTACTTCACTTTAAATTGAATAGGTTTTTAATTTTATTTAAATGTAAAACGGCTCATTAAAAATGCACAGTTTATTTAATGTGTGAAAATAATATTAATGAATGATGAAAAATTGTTTTATAAGGCTGCGCGCAACTATAAATATGTTTAACAAAAAATCGATTGAATCACTCGATTTCCAAGATTATTCATTCATTTGTTATCATTATCTTATCGACACTTTGTTTTGTTGGCTTTAAATTGTTTGAACGCGATACTTGATGCGCGAAAAAACGTGTATCGCAACTGCATAGGGCAGGTGTCTCGACTTCCTCATTCTTTGTTACTTTTGACACAATGGATTTTTCGACGTCCGGTTCTTGTTCTATCCGACAGTTGAAGTTCTTGTTACTCAAGATCATATTGAATTTTCAATTCCAAATGGAATCCATTAATGCTTCAATTCTGAAATCCATTATAGATCATCGTTAACATCCGTTCCTTCATCTTAATTTTGATTGTTGCTTGTCATTTTCTTTAAACAATGCTTTTTGATTTCTTGGCACAATAACTGGATGTTTGATTGATTTAAATTGCCTTTTTAGATGAAATCTACAGAAAATTGATTTTTCATTTGTGTGACGAATTTGAAAGCTTTTTTTGCTAGAAATCTCAAGTTTTTATAGCGAATCACGTTAAATAATTAAGTTCATTTGTTTTTGTGAGATACTAAAGAACCAATATTTCCTAATTAGCTGACTTGTTTAATGAAATCATTAGACATGCTTCTAGAAATTTTCTGGAAGAAAAAAGTTAATTTTTGTTTCTAAATCAGACTTCCCAATCCCAAAGCTACTTGATAAAAGAAACTATTGTGTTTGAAAAGCTAACATAGTTGCATGTGACTGTAAGATAAAAAGTACTCAAGGTACTTTGGTAGAAAAAAAAACTTGAAGCTTTTAATTAAAAATATCCATACAAAAAATCGTAAAAGACTTTTGAAAGTCACATTTATCATAATACAGTAATCAACACGTTACTATGCATAATCTAAAATCAAACACTTATTAGCTTGAGACAGTGTAAAAAATACTAGGAATTACAGCACATATATATATGTTATCTAACGCCATTGAGAAATATTTATTCTGATGTTACAATCTTATCTCATTTATAGCTTGCTTCCCATAGAATAATTGTATTAATTCAATGCTGTGAAATTCCAACAGTTATACTTGCTTAATTGCCTCTCTATTTTTTTTTTTATCTTCTTAACTTTCAATTTCTATTTCCATGTATCGATGATGATGGAAAAAAAATATAGCAGCAAGAGCCGTCAAACGAATGTCTACTTCGTATTCAAAATGAAATAAGTGAGGTTGAAAAACGAGAATTAGAATTACGGAATGAGCATGCATTGATTTCGCCGTCTTCGCCAACAACTAATGGAACTGTAACATTTGATGTTGATGATGATCCATTACCAGCTGATGTAATTGACGTAAGACCAACATCGCCACAAAATATATGCAGTAAAGATCATTTTAAGAAGAACAAGATCATTGAGCCTCAACCAAAGCCTCAGATGCATCAATTACTTACAGCGCCACCATTATCGAGAGCACTTTCCCAACCACAACTTTTCAACATTTCTCCAGTCAAGATTAGTTCACCTCATAAAGGAATTATGCAAAAATTTATTGCCTCACGAGGTAAATTGAATGTTGGTCAAGTCAATCAACCAGCACCGACTAATAATTTCAAGAAAAATTTGATTATGGTATGTAGCTTGCTTCATTCCGATGATTATTATCATTATTATTAATGCCCATTCGCTATTTTCTTTTACGTAAAAATGCACATGAAACTAGCAGTTAATGAAGACAGTATGAGTAAATGAGCTGTTTATTATTTGCAGGCACCAATTGAATTTAATAGTGACAGCATCAAAGCATTTCAGAATTTTGAAAAGGCACTAATTGAACGTGATAAGAAAGGAAAACCAATTAGACGCGGCTATGTACCAGTAGAAGAGAAAATTCAGACCGAATTGAGAGATTTAAAGAATCGTGAAACGGAATTAAAGCGTTTACATAAAATTAATGTACGCGATTTCGACGATGAAATTACACCAGATGAAATTGATAGCAGCGACTGGAGTCCAATTAATGGAAAATTATCAAAATCAATTGATGCACTTAACAGTCATTCTAGTCCATCTCCGACAATTGAATCATCAAAGCCAATTCCTACGCCTAGGAACACTGCAATTCGTCCGGCTGTAAGCTTAGCAACATTGATCAATTTAGAGCCGGAAATGGAAGCGCCTTCTTCTCATAAATTAATTGAACGATGGGAACATATTATTCAAGAGAATCAACAAAGAGAAAGGTCCTATAATATTAACTGAAGATTCAAATATATATAGCAAAATACTTTTGTTTATTTCTTTTGTGTCTTTTTGTTTGTTGTTTATTCCCATCAAATCTATTTATTCATTAAAAAAAAAAAGAATGATATAATAAAGTTTTCATAATATATGGTTATAATTATTAACATTATTATTATTTACGCTCAAAAATGTCAATTCATTTTTTATTACTTTTTCGCATTAGAAAAGGTCTTAAAATAGTTCATCCATTCCAGCGGGTGCATCCAAGTCACGATAATGAATTAATGGTCGTTGTGCATTATCCATACGTGCACCACGTGAAAATCCTCGTCCATGTCCTCTACCACCCATCATTGGTGAAGCATAAGGATATGGATTGTATGGCATTGGAGCTGCATATTGTGGTTGTCGGAACATTGGCGCGTTCATTGGAGTCTCTTTCTTTGCATTATTCGCTGGATGTTCAGGCAATTGAGGGCGTTTTGAATCTTTCAAATAGTTGTTGTAATACTCAACTTCCTTTTTTACTTCCTCAACCTTTTCAGCATGTTTACTCAAGATATGTTTACGAACATAATCTGGTCCTTTGAATTTTTTCCCAGACAGTGGACACAACCATTTATCCTTTGCTAGTTCTTGCGTGTTGGCAGTTATAAACTTTTCCACTTCCATATCGATGTCTTTAGCTCCCAATTTTTTCAATTCTTCAAGTGGAATATCGATAGTGCTTGCCAAAAATTGTGATATTTTGTTCTCAAAATTCTTGATATAATCAGCAGTTTCATTCGATGTTATCTTGTTCTGTGGTGGAGGTCCTCTAGCATGAATTATACCACATCGATTTGGCATTTCATCTTCATAAGGATATTCGCAATGATCTATTGGAGATGCATTTTCATTTAGTGATGCTCTTAGCATTAATTTAAATAATACTTACTGTAAAAGTCAACAGAGTGGACGATTCTCAGATAGAGAATGATTTTATCCAAAACACTAATGTATTCAAGATCACGTTCAAGGAATTCTCCGTCGTTATTCTCTTTGCTTTCACTTGACAAACCAAGCAGTTCTTCTTCCTCAGCATTTGCTTCTTCAATCAAATAGTCAGTAATGTTCTTAAGAACTGGATTTTTTGATTGTAAGCCAAAAGTCGATTTATCTTTTTCATCTGATTCGTCGATTCTATCAAGCCATAAGCCATACTTTTCGTCAAGACTGTGAGCAATTTTAGCACAAATCTTTATGTCATTCTTACAAATCGTCTTATGAGCAGTGATTCCATTTACTGGACGAACACGACGTGACAAATCACGATTAACGATTGGCGCTAACTCACAATCACGCAATCGAATATTATTCAAGTTCCAGCAAATTTCTTTAATGTTTACATCACGCTTGAATGTTATCCAACCTCTTCTGAAGAATCGTCTCTCAATTACAGGATCAGCAATTGCAACACGCAAAAAGCCATCGTAGCGTTTACAGAGCTATATAGAAATGAAGAAAAAAACAATTTCTTGAGTGACTTAATATTCAGGTTAAATGATTTTTAATAAATTTACCGCTTCAACCTCAGCTTTTGTAATAGTTGGTGCCAAATTGCGAAGAAAAATAGAACTGGTTTTGTGCAATTCTTCCAATTTCTTGGGTTTCACATCCTCATCTTCGTCGATATTGGCCAAATCAACAACTTCAACCTCTACCTTATCGATTTCAATTTTTTCTGGCTCTTTTTCAGATATTTCAGATTCTTGCAATTCTTTATTTTCGTCGCTACTATTTTCCATTTCTTCATCTTTCTTTTCCGTTTGTAGTGATTGCACTTCGTCCTTTTCTTCTACATCCTGTTTACTTTCGTCGTCGTCTTTTTCAACTCCATTGCCATTTTCTTCAGGCTTGTTTTTCGATTTTTGATTATCAGAATTATCGGAATCTGATGAACTGTCGGACGATGAACTTGAATCAGAGTGCGTTCGACGGCGTTTTTTGCTTTTTGTCGATTCCTCTACTTCTTCATTTGGTGTATCTTGTGTTTTATCAGATACATTTTCGGCATTTTCTTCAATCTTAGCCTTTTCGTCTACAACAGATTTAGGCTTGTCGTCAACAATTTTCGGTTGTATGGTATTTATAACGATCGGTTTTTCATCTAAAACCTTTAAATCGTCATCACAACCACCTTCCAATTTGATAACAACCGTGTCCAAGAGACGAATCAATGCTTCGGTATTTGTTGTATCAACATTGACTTTTGTTACGTCCCCTTTACCAAGCAATTCAACAAACACGTCAATTCGTTTCTGTAAAATTATGAAAACTCATTAGCTAGTTGCTCATTGTTGTTTGTCGTGGCATATATGAGTGAATTTAAATAAACAACTGACCTTCAAATATTCAATTTGCTCTTCTTTTCTCTTCATTGACATTTCAGGATGGTATTTGAGTTTAAACCTATAACATAACGAATAAAATGTGATGAAATAAATGCATGTACAGTTAATCTCTTTATTTAGAGAAATAAAAACCTATGAACGGAATAAATAATCAAGTTTAAATGATCGACATTTGTTGGATATACCCAATATAGTAAAACAAGGATTACATTACATCAATAAATTATGCACCATCATTGAAAATTGTCAAATTTTTTTTTGTTATCATAAGGTGATGATTTTGAAATTCTTACCTCCTCTATCGTTTGGAATTGTCTTTAGCATATTTCTTAATTCAATATTATCGTAATCATTATTATTGTTATTATGAAAGTTTAAATAATTTAAAAATACATCATTTGAAACGAGTTTAAAAAACGCGAAAGGAAATTTAATAATGATTGTGTGCACGAATTTTTGTGGTTGCTTGTAAAGACAACATGAGTGGCTGTAATAAAATTATCGTTATTATACACATCATTTCTGTCTTATCAATTTGTATGTGACATTCATATCATATCATATCATATAATTAAGTGGATTGAAGACGGTATTTCTTAAATTGGTACACAAGAAGAACCAGTTTCTATCTAACAAGTATAGTCTAAATATTATAGAAATTTACTATTGTTATTAAGCTACTTACCATTCTTCATCCTTGTGCCCAACAAAAAACTCATTCAATTGACTTCGTTTAAATTCCAATTTGTATTCGTTGTACTTGGAAATTGCCGTTTCATCAGAGATTGAATCGTCTTGAGCAACAAGAAATTGTTTTAAGCTCATCATTGCTGGCTGACTTAATCCATCTGAAATTGCTGGTGGTGGATGTGATTCGCGAGGATTTGGCATCGCATATGGACTCAAATTTGCGTAAGGATCATGAGATGATGGATATGGATACATATAATCCATTGGTGATCCACCATATCCTCTTGGACCTCGTTCCTCATAATCTAATGGACGAATTCTCTTTGCAGGCGGTGAATATCTTGCTGAACGATAATATGGCTCATTTCGTGAACGATTTCTATAAAACATAAATATTATTTATATTTTAAGCACTGGGTTAATGAATTTTCTTTTCTTATGAATAAATTACCTTTCTCTATCAGGCCATCTTTCTCTCTCACCACCACCTCCTCCTCTTTCACCTCTAAATTTATCACGTCTTTTACGATCATATTCATCATCAGAATCACCCATTTTTACTGTAAAATTGATCAAAAGTATGCAATTATTGATTTTAACTAGTCTAGATGGCAAAAAACTAGTGATTATTGGCATAAATTAAGTGAAATTTTATCAGCGTTCTTGAAAAAGTTCCTTTTACAAAAAATCGACAGTTTACTCACAATTTCTACTGTTCTTCTATGCCTTGTTGACGCAAGTAGTGGATATATATTAAATTTGACAATTAATCTTAGTTAAATATACAATTAAGGTACCTGTTTGTAGATTCAGTAGTTTGCAGAAAACTTTCCGAAGTTGCAACCTCGTAGAATTGAACCTCCATTAAACATACAGTCTGTAAAGTTGACAACCCCTCTAATTTAAAACAAGTAAAAAGTAGTTTTGTTTTGAGCGCATTTTCCAATCATGAGCAATGTTTTCATTCAGTTTGATTCGAATTCTCGTGAACGACGGAAGTGTGTTCGATTTTTTTAATTATTTTATATTTTTAAACACTTTTAACAGTGCCGATGAAATTAGTCATTAAAAGTGAGAACCTGTGCATACATTGTGTGTATAGAATTGAATGAATTTATCGAATTAATCCTGAAAAATATGATAATAAGTCTTAAAGAATGTGCCTATTATCGAAATAGAGAGAAAAAACAAGTTTTTCTTCTTCAAATTCTTCAACATTAATAAAAGTGGATATATACTATATAAAAAAAACTCGTAAGTTTTAGCTTAGCCTACCTATTTACAATCACTTTTCTCGAAAATAATTTCTTCTTGATCGAAGAAATCATTTTTTAAAGTTGAAGTTATTCAAGTTATGCAGCATAGGAAGACGTCATTTGACGACACAAGTTCTTCAATCAAAACATATTAAAATCATTATTATGAAACAATTACCTACCTACCTACGTCTAATGCAATCATCTAACTGTGGATTAATGATTTTTTTTTTTTTTGACTGTTGATGAATGAATAAGAACGTACCGGATGTTGTTACATTTCCTTGTGAAGGACAAAGCATAAGAAACGTTTGCGGTGTGTGATGTTAGCTAAATCAACTCACAGAAAAGAAGAAAAAAAAAACAAAATAGATGATGAAAACGTTTTCTTTTGGCTCACTCACAAGACATTTCAAAACAACAGTCGTGCGCGCTATTTTATGAATATTTAATTAAGTCTAGTCAGAGATTTTCATTTCTATTCGCCGAAATGATTATCGTGATATTTAAACTTAAAAATATTTTTTGTTAAGAATAATCCAGTAATGTCCATCGAATTCCATTCATGTCAAACAAGAAAGCGACTTTGTAATGCGCATATTTTATATAAGGAACGTCCTTGAGAAGAACCGAAGGTTAATTATCAAAGGATGAATAGTCGCGATTGGCTTTACACACTTAAAACAAGTGTATTCACTTTTCTTTAAAGCTTCATATATAGCTAAACAATTAGTTCTATTGAAGTGAGCGAGAGAGGCAAATAAAAATTGCTGTAATAATTTGAAATTCAGCAAAAAACAAAATTGCATTCAAATTACTACTGTATATTTTTTGTTGTCCTTCCGCATTCACATATGTTATTTTGTTTTTAAACCCCATAGCATGCATAAATTTCGGCTTGTTCTTGTACCAAAGCGGTCTGCATTCTTCAAATTCTGATCGACAATAGATTGTAAATTTAAGGGTTTGCTTAAAAAATTGAGTTTAAGATGGGAATGCTTGAAAACCTTACAAGTTCTGTTAAATTTACAAAACATTTGTACGAGTTTGAAATTCAAAATGACTTCAGTTAAAATTTCGCAAATTTTTATTTAACGCATGTGATCATTAAAATGAGCACATGCAAATTGATCATATGTTGAGAAAAAATGTACTTTCATCATCTGTGTCGAAGGATTTTATTGCTTGTTGGTTTTTTTTTTGTTTCTATGGAATTTTGCGAAAAAAAAATGTTAATGAGCTGACTTATTAGTTGATGTGTGTTATAATAGTGATGATGTTATTCATTGAAAAGGCCATATAAACTTTTCATTATTCTTTCCACTAATTTTTTGCTTCTTGCTCACCTTTAATGTAAGCCAGTCAATTAGCACGAAAATAAATTGGCAACACAGTTCATGAGACTTCAATTAAGGCCTGTTTTTTCGTTGAGACAAAACGTATCTTTCTGGATGATAAATCGTATGTCTGAGTAGTAGGTGGTAGTCAATAAAATAATAACAACTTGCTTAATCCACCTTGCAACCGAATTTGCATAAAATAACTTGCGTCGACAAGTTAAAAATAATAATAATATTAAGAAAGAAAAATATTTACAAGTGTCGATTTTATATAAACATTCTGTATTATGTATGTACGAATTCCTCTTTTCTTCTTGTGAATATATAGAAATGAAAATATCATATACATTCAAACATTCCATAATATTTTTTAAAACTTTTATATAAATACATTCTCCGATTTGGATAAAAAAAAAATCGTGCGGAATATATATTTGCGGCATCGACAATCGAAAGAAACAAAATGGGCCGTGCAAATGTTGAATGTTGTCCAATATTCCGTAATTACCTACTCTGTAGTCAGTACTTTTTTTTTATCTTTCTTAAAGAAAGTTATTTTCTTATGTTCATACATATTTGACATACATACATAATGAATACATATTGAAAGCATAAAATGATGAGTGTGCTCCAAGAGTTATTGAACTATGACGTAGTTATTTAAACTCCATGCTACTGTTAAACTCTTTTTTTTTTGTTGATGTTGTTGCTGTTCATTCTTCATTGAAATTATAACAAAAAATAGCGAATGAATATAAAATATGTACAAAAAAGATCAAGTCACAAAAGTTTGTGTGTAATCTCTACTTCATTCATCATCCGTGAATAAATCTTTTTGACAATTTAGATCTCTCGTATAGTGAGAAACACAGCACTGTCTGTGTATTTGAAATATGTACAAAAATGTTAAGAAGAAGGCACTGGAGCTTTGAATTGATTCATTACCATTACTAAGTTTAGCTTAATAATATAATTCATGTCTTAAAGTTACGTGGTACGTGGGAAAACAGGCAACAACAATGTGAAGCAATAGAATATTTTTTGCAAAAACTTTTAATGAATGCACACATTACAGTAGAATCTCTAGACGAGTGCATTTTTATCAAGTACACACTACTGTTGAAGGTCAATGCAATGTGAAATTTTTTAGCTGCTTTAACATTTAACTTTTTTTTGTATAAGGGAAGTCGGTCGACATTGAACGCTGATTCTCTGAATTAATCATCAATTAATGGAAATTAATTAAAGATGAATATTAAGCAGTCATGAGTTGAATTTTTCTCGAAAATATAATTGTAAAATACACATTTGATGCTTGGGCAACTTACTGTAATTATATACCTTCATATATGAGTGTATATAATTTAAGAACTAACCCGTGTTACCTCATTCAAATTGCGGGTTTATGACTACTGTTGATGACTTGTTTATATACAACAAATTTTTGCAAGTAAAGTTTCATTCAATTTGGTTGACTGAATTGTTGTCATATTATCTCTGTAGTCGTTAGTGTCTTTAAGAATTTCTCACCTAAAAACATCCGTGTGTTGTCACGGCTTAAACAAACTGCAATGATGATCGAAATCATTAAAAGTTTACGATTTAAAATCCATTTTTTAAATGTCACAAATTTTTTTTTGCGATGGATGTGCATAAAATTTATAATTTGATCATCACGTTTTCAAATTACTCACAAATTATCACGTTTGGAGCCATGAAGGCTCACTTAGTATCAATAATATTCTATCTCGATTCACTGATATTTTTTATTTCCAAAGTTTAAAAATCGTTTCAAAATCTTTTAAAAACTGCTAAAAACTTTAAACAGAAAACAGCAACAAAAAGCGCCACTAAACAAGAAAGAATTTATAATTTTCATGTCTCATTTCTTTGAAATGTAGGTTTATGCAAATTGTTTTTCTAATTATCGTACATAAACCTGCAGAAAAGAAAATATGTTACAAAATGACATCAAATATGGATCACTTGCTCGTAAGCATTAAGGCATAGTAACATAACATAGTAAAAAGTGATCAGTGAAAGCCACATGATATAAATTATTCGCGCAGCAGAAGCGTTTTCAGTAAAAACTAATGAAATGAAAGAAAAAAAAAATCTTTTTATATCGTTTACTTTATAATTAGCAATCGATTGATAATTGAAATATGGCTTTATAGTAGACGATATTATTTTGCCGACAAGTTTTTTTTTTCTTTCAGTTTTTATTAATGTGCGATATAAAAAGAGTATCATTATATTGAGGTGTCGAGATAGAAAAATGAGCGAGCGTTAAGCCATTGCATGACAAGTTTTATGAAAGAATGGAATGACGCTAAGTGCGGCTCACAAACACCTGTAAATTCAATACAACGCCTTTTGTATTTTTTCTTCTTAAAACAATAAACTTAAATTAAGAATTATCAACATTTACTCAACACATCCTACTGTTTCTACACCTATCCTTATCATATGTGAGTAATACTGATAAAGTACTTTTTTTCCACCTCAGTTTCATTCCTCAAAATAATTTCTTCATTGAGTAATTTGAGGTCGTAAAGTATGTGACATAGTGTAGACGTAGAAATTATTTTTTTTTTTATTTTCACACTATTAATAAATCAAGGTACAACTTTTTGTGACAAATTTGTCTCTTATTTAAATTATATCGCTATTATTTTGTAATTTAACGAACGGAATGAAGAAATAAAAAGAAGACAGATTAAGTTTAAGGGGAAGATTGTGAAAACTAGTATTTTGGTCACTATAAAGGTATTGAATGGTGACACATGCGCATTTTTACTAAGTTATCGAGCTGATCAATTATGAGCGCATAACGGTTCTTAAAAACCTTTAATCTTCATTCCAAAAAAATATTATAACGGGTTTTGAAAACAAAAGAATATGACATTGACTTTGAAAACATATTTAACATACATCTGCTAGCCAGCTGACTAGCTCAAGATACATAAAACACATATTATTGTCTATAATAAATTGCGCTAAATTTAAGAAAATAAACTTTCATTCCAATGTGCAACGAATGGCACAAGTTGAGGAAAGAGATCGAGATTGTGTGTGAGAGAGTTTGATGATATGAATGAATAAAAAAAGAAATGATATTAAATTACGGTAAATTTTTGTCAAACAATCGAGAAAAGGTACAGAAGTAATAACAACAACGTCAGCTGCGTTGAAGCTTGAAAAAAGATGAAAATCTGTCTATAAGGTGGTCAACATAACTAGATTATACACGTGATTGCTTTACGGATTAGTAATTTTTTCTTCTAAATGCTGCACTAAATGAGAGTTGACTAGCTAGTAATCATAAATTACGTTGGTTTTTTGTTGTGCTTAATGATTTCTTCTTGCTCAACATTCATCTTTTCTTTTCTATTGAGATATGATATTACTCTATTAACATTTAAACTATTTAGACGTAGAAAAAAGTAACAACTTTCTTTCATTTGGTCATTCATTCAAGTCAAAGCCATTCATAATTTGATAGATGTGAATTTTGCGCATATAATTTCGCTTCTTTTTCGGCAAACTTCAAATATTTCCGTAGTCTGCTGACAAAATTTAGTCTTAATTTTGATCACAAAGATTGCGTACATAAAGTAACTCTGTGGAGTAAATGTGCAAACATTTCTTATATAATTTAGAAATATAAATTCCAAGTAGTTTAGTTGAAGTAGGTAATAACAATTATCTTGCAATATATATATATTTTTTTCTTTGAATGATAATTGCAGATTATTCCAAAGGTGAATAATAGCAGCTAAATTGCGAATCATTAATTCTATAACGCAACAACATATAAATATCATACATACATACGAGAGAGAGAGAGAGAGAGAGAGATAAAAGAGAAGAGAAACATTAATAATGCATGGATTATCAACTTTAAATCGATTATTGGGAAAGAAGAATAAAGAAGGTTAGTTAAATATTAGCATGACAAATGTCTTTGTAACGCGATTATACGCTTAAATTCTCCTCTAATAATTTCAAATTATCTTTTTTCATGGCGTGAAACAGTGTCACGTTCGACGTCAAATCTTAGCAAGTCGCATAGTAACCTGGAATCATCTAGTCAACACAACAAAAAAATTCCAATTTTAAACAATGCACCATTTGAGCAGACATTTAGAGTTACAGTATATCTGCCAAAAAATCAACTATATGTAAGACTAGCTTATCTGTTGTCTTGTCTTAATTACATTTATGGGAATAATTTTTTTCCTCGCTTCAATTAAACTTTTTTGTCTGAATTATGTAATTTACAACGCACTATATATTTCTATTAACATTTATTTACACTTATAATCTAATAGGTGGAGCGTATTGGAGCTAAAACAAAGCTCGAAAAATTGATGAATGATGTTTGTGATAGTAAAAATTTGAGCATTGACAAATATGAATTCCGTCATCCAGCTGATATGTCGCAAGTTTTTGATGCTGATAAGACGATTGGTGAGGTGGGATTGAATGAATTACGACTTGTTTTAAAATCTGAGAGTAGATATAATGGGGATTTTCACCGATATCACAGTCGACCAGACGATATTATCAAGTATAAGCCATCTAATGTAGCCGAATCTGTATCGTCGTCAGAAATGAGTCGATCAAATTTAAAAAATACATCAAAGACTTCGCCATATAGCTCTACAAACTCGCTTAATTCATTAGATTCAACGGGAATGAATTCCTCAAATAAAGTTCAACAGCCAGTAGCACCGATAAGAAAGAAGAAACGAACTGCACCTCGGCCTCCTAGCGAGAACTCAATTCCAGAGCAAGAAATCTTCAACACATCAACATTGAATGTATTTAAGGAACCACATTCCATTTTACCTCGTAAGAATTTCCATGTGTCATCGCCGCAGTTGTATAATAACAACATTAATAATAATTATGAGATTGCACAAAAGAGCGACAGTAACAACAATCATACTGAATTGCGCTCAGTGTCGAGTCGATTAAATGCCATAACACGTCCATCATCTTTACATTTTGGAAGTAATACGGAAATTGTCAAAAACTTGCCTGAGCGTCAACGAAACAACAGTGAATCATCAGAAATTCAAAATATTATGCGAGATTCAGGCTCAATGCAAAACAGTCTAGGTAAGGAAATTAAATGTATATATTCATGCAACTCATCTTTACTAAAAGCTTCATTTTCTCATTTCCTTCTCTGTTGACGCATTTTTCTGCGAAATTAAAATTCAAATTGATAGTCAAATTTCCCCAAAAAAAGATTCGTTGACTCATAAATCAAATGGCATTAATTCTTTATCTTTGTGATTAATTGTTATGGCGAAAAATGCGTTCAAGTTTATTTTTGTTGGACATTGACCTTGTCACTAATTTATCACATTTTTATCTCAATCTTTAATTTAATTATTATGTAGAGAGAGCAAAGAAAAAGAGTCCAGCTCCCGTTCCACCTACACGAAAAATAAAGCCCACGCCATCACCTCGTACAATTCAGGAAGATATGAAATCCATAACTGAAATAAAAGAAGTCGACGAACAAGAGAATGTCAACACGCAAAAAATTGTGGGAGAAATTCCTATCGATGATAATCCAAATAATAAAGGCACAATAATTAATAAAATCACCAGCAGCAAGACAGAAGATGAAAATGGAAACGTGTCAAAAGTGTTGTTAAACAACAAGTCAGAGTCAAGTTTAGAAAAAACAGAAGGTCCTATTTCAATACAAATTTTAACGTCGAAAAGTAAGGTTGAACAACAGTCGTTGTCGCTGCAGCAAGAAGAAATGTCGAAAGAAAGTGCAAAATTACCAGTCGTTTCAAAAGTGCACATAAATCATCGCGGGGATGAAACGCGATCAGGCTCCGAAGCAGAAGAAGAAGAAATGACTGTAAACATTTACAATGTGACAAAAAGTGTCGTGACTTGTGAAAAGCCAGCTATAATAAAAGAAACTAATAATAAAAAGATATCAGTTGTTGAGGGTGAACAAAAACATGTCATAATTGAAAATAATAATAATGATATTGTGAAAGAAGAAACTTCTAATGTAACTAAAGTCGAGGAATGTCAACGATCGCCGTCTCCTGAATGGACATATACACTACCAGCGCCACCGATTGTGGGAAATAGTCTTGAAAGTAATAACAGCAATGTCAATAATAATAATAATTCGCCTACAGATCAGAAGAGCGTTGTCGGTAATAAATATTTTAGTGATTACACGTCAACAGTCAATGATAACGAAACAATTTTATCAGATTCCAATACTACTGTTATATCAGCAGAAACACACATTCAACCTATTATCAATGATAGAAGAAAAGTACTTGATGACAGTTTTATCATAAATCCAAACGATTATACGAAGCCTTCAACGGCTGCTGTAGCTATTTCGGATAATGAGAGCGATAAGAGCACTGAAGTTATAACTTCAGATTTAGAAGATGGATATTTAGGAAATAATAATAATAATATTAGTAATGATAATGAAATAAGTGTAATTGAAGAGGTGGTTGCATCGAAACCCAAGCCCGTTGAGGATATCCAGAAAAGTCGTTTGATGTCGATCACACGTTCAGATTCATTCTCAATTGGTCAACAAAAGAGAAATGAATATTATGATGGAATGATAAGAGGAACTAATTTTAATGCATTGCCTCAAAGGAGTACATCGTTCTTATCTTTAGTTCACTCGCAAAAAGCCGAAATGAGATCATCATCATTGACGGCTACATCAATTAAACAAGATTTAAATGTGCCTTATAATAGACAAAAGTCTACAAGTGAATTAAGCATTTCTGACGTGCCTTCTCTGCAGAGTTTAGAGGTCATTAAGAACATATTGAATTGCCGTAAAAGTAGCTTACAAGAAATAAATCGTAAAAGTGTCTTGAGCGATGACATTAATAATGTTAAAAGTGCTCCAATTGAAGAGCTCAAAAAAATTCATTCAAGTACTTTAATTGAAGCAGCAGAAAAATCAGTAACATCCACAACATCAACATCGAAAATTGAAGTAAAAAGTACTGAGAAAGTAATTTATAACACCATTGAAACGAGAGATATTAAGAAATTGGAAACTCAAAAATCCGAGCCATTCTTTGTTGAACGTAATAAAAACAATAACAGCAACGATACAAGCAATAACAGTGTGAAGAAATCCGAAACGCAATGGCGTTATAGTGGTCCACCAAAAATCAATTTTTCAACATGGAATGAGCGTCCAAAAGTCGAAGTTTCGGTAATGAGCGATGAAGATTATATTTTCGGTGGTTCTAAGCATTCCACAACGTTACCACGTGATTTTAAAAATCAAGGAATTAATCAATATAGTCAGAATCAAAATGTTGATAATGTTGATTCGTATGTAAGGAAAAGTTATAGTACAGTCATGGTTAAAAATGAAAATAAAGAGGCTGAGAGACACTTGCCCAAAGTTTTGGGCGTTGAATATAAGAAGGATGTGGTTGTGCTTCGAAATAATAATAATAATAAGAAAGATACATCTATGCCAGCACCGTCGAGTGAGATAAATAATAGAAATAATTCTACAAAAACCCTCATAAGCATCAAGCAACGGCCGGTAACAATGGATTATAGCAGTGCAATTTCTTCGTCCACAACAAAAACAACTTTAAACTCTCCTAATTATCAAAAACAATTTGTCTCGTTTAATAATAATAATAATAGTAGTAGTAGTAGTAAGAAGTTCACACCGATCGTCCATGGATTCAGTAAATTGGATAATATAAGTGAAACTCAATCTGATGTGAAATCGTTACCGATTACTAATAAGATTACAGATGCGAATAATGAGAAACGAGCGGAAGCGCCAATGATTCCAGTCAAACCATCGTACTTGCGATCAGCATCTGCTGGCGGAGATATGAGTCGCAATTTGAAACCATCGTCAGTCAAGAATGTCACGAATCCGAATAATACTGACGCAAATGACGAAAGTCCCTACTCACAAACACTTCGTCGGACGGGATTAATTGAAAAGATGTTGAACAATGATAAGAAGACTGAAAGCATTTTCGGGAAAGTTCTTGATAAGCCCAAAAGCACTGCTACAAATCCATCTAGCAACTCTGTTCAATTAAATGAAGAAAAGATAGAAAAGGTTACAATTCGTCAACTTTCACAGCCAATAACGTCTACAAATAATCCACCACCTCCACCTCCTCCAATGATTTTCAGAAAATCGGTACCGGTTGTTATTAGTGGACAAATGAGTGAAGCAGATACAAAAAGTCAACTGCTTGATGCCATCAAGAATTTTAACAAAGATTCACTTCGTCGGAAATAATAAAATTCCAGTCTATCTAGTTGTTACTTTTTATCGTTTATTTTTATAACCTTTTTTTTTGGTCAATATTTGAAAACTGATCATCTCCAGTTTTTATCTATTTATTATTATTATAATTATATCCCAAAAACTTGTTCATTTTACCATAAAATATTCTCTTTTAATTTACTTTGTAAATTGTTGTGAATGAAGGCAAACAGAGATGATTGTTGTCTGTCAAAAAAAAAATAAGAAGCATTCCAAGATGAAAACTCGGGTATAACATATTCAGCACAAAACATTCTTTATTATTCCGTATTATTAATATATCGTACTTTAATCAAAAATATATACAAAGGATTAATCTATTCAAAATAATATTAAACAAATTCAAATTCCAGCATGCCTTATACTGAATTTTTGAATTTTTAAACAAATTCTGTATTACATCGCTGCTACCCATTTAGAAGAATAAAAATCTAGTTTGGAAATTATAATTAACATATTTTGTTTCTAATTCTCGTGATATTCAATAGCATTTGTTTACAGCTTCAAGGCCATCGCATATTTGATGAAATAAAGTTTTTTTTTTGTTTTGTTTAAAGAAGATGTTTGTAATAAGTATGTAGTTCTCAGCACACCGTCCGCTCACATGATGCTAATTATCATGTTCCTGGAAAATCTTTAACGACCCATTCATTTTTAAACGTCTTATGTTACACCTGGGAAGTAAGTCAAAATTTCAAAACAGTTTTGTTATCCTAATGCATTAAGAAACATGATAAAAGAACTCAAAATGTTATTAAAATGTTTGAAGGATTAAATTCGCAAATTGAAAATTGATATTCACAAATTTCCGTTAAAAAATAATTTAAAAGATTAGTTGACAATTAGACAAACTCAAAAATCAAATGTATTTTTTTAAAAAATTGATAAAAACAAACGGAAAAAGTTAAAGTTATGAATTAAAACGTGATTGATTCTCTGAAACAAGCAATTAGACCATATCTACATATAGCAATAGTTTATTTAATTAACATCCTCACGCTCAGAAATTCTTCAAAAAAGCAATTGAGATTCTGTTAAAAATTCAAATTTCCCGCACTTAATAAGATCTACCGAAAATGTCTACCAAAACAATAATCAAACACACTTCAATAGCATTTCCAAAATTCCTTGAGCGCAGTTTCACAGCACATTATTCTAAGATTTAACGTGGATTAATAAAGGTGTTTTTAATGCCTACTCAACCATCTCATTAAAGTATCGAAATATTAAAAAAATGTAAGGCAAAGCAGTAGTATATAGGGTATTGCAGTCAGTCAGACAAACAAAGTAAATAAAGAAGTGCTAGAAAAAGTGGTTTTCAAAGAAAATATTGGAAGGAAAAAAGTAAAAAGTTTAAACAAGTTCAAAACGATGTTTCTTAATTAATTAAGTAGGATTTAATTAGTCAAAATGAATTGTCATCAAATATTAAGCGGAGCTGCAAATGCTGGGGATCGATGTTTCGCTGTTGGATCTGTCGAAGGCATTAGTTTTACAGTAAGAAATTTTTATCGTCATCAATAAATTCTTTTATTCATTTTACGCCTTTATTATTGCTTAAAGTCGATGAAAATTGACTAGTTCAGTTAATTTCAAGTTATATTCAATGTTTAATCAGATCAGATGTGTACAATCGGTGAATTAGAGTGATTTTAATGAGTGAGAAAAATAATCGATAAAATTTTCCTCAGCTCTGAAAAAAGCTGAAAAGTGTCATATTTTCCCAAGTATTTATCATAAACTTATCCAGTATATTATCACTACGTAATCAGTTCAAGTGTTTTTGTATGCCAATATGTGGATTGACGATTTTTCGTTTATAAGTCAGCTGACACTTCTTTTTACGTTTTCGTTTTCTTATTCTTTTCTCAGTCTCTTCTTTGTGATATCATTCCGCATAAGTGTATTTTTCTTTTCCTTCTAACGACTGACTGACTTAATCGTACGTAGTTTTTACATATACAACATTAATATCACAGCCAGTTGTTCACGGTGTAAACAATAGTTGCAAATATTTACACTTGATAATTCTCTCGTATCTAATGATTTTTTTTTTTCTTTTCTTATAGGCGTATGCAGCAGGCTGCAATATTGTTGTTTTAGCTAGTACATTTGAGCGTGTACAAATCATCCCTGGTGCAATCCACAACTATATTAGAATCAATGCACTCGATTGTAGTACGGATACAGGAAAAATTGCTGCTGCGTACGAAGATAAAGTGTGTATATTTGAGCCAACACCATTAATTCATTCAACACATCCACCAGCTCATGGTTTGGAATATAAATGGGTTCAAACGGGATGTCTTCAAGCATCTTCACATATTACATCCCTATCATGGAATTTAGAAGGCACAAGATTACTCACTGGCGGGACTGTTCTTGAATTATGGCATGAAAAATTGAAACAAGATGATGATGAGCCATTAAATGTCAAATTTGAAATTGGAGGTGGTGATCCTAAAACTCCAACAAATGAGCAAGATGAAGCTATTGAACAACTTTGGGAATGTGTTTGGAAATGTCATACAGCAGCACCAGTTCATCATATGGCATTTAGTCCTGATGGGACATTATTTGCGACATCCGGTAAAAGCGATCGTCTTGTTAAAGTCTGGTACGAGAATAAACACTGTAAGTTGAATCTCAATCTTTTAATTTTATTTTTTATAAAAAGGGTAGTAATGAAGAAAAATAAAATTTATGATTATTCTCGTCCTTTTTCTTTTTAAAACGTTAAGTGCTATTTCCAACAAAAAGTCTGGAACATAATCAGTCGATGGGAAGTTTTATTGGCAATCCGTTTGAATTAAATTATGGATTTGTTTATGTTGCGCATCCAAGAGCAGTGACTCATATTTCGTGGAGAAAAACGAGTAAATACATGCCAAAAGGTTCAGTATCAAATATGCTTGTTACGTCATGTCTGGATAATATTTGTCGAATTTGGGTCGAGACAGTATTGCCAGATGATGGACTCATTAATATGAGTCAATTTGATCCATTGGCATCACAAAATCCCAAATTTCGAACACATCGACATAAACATCGATTTATACAGCGTCTGAAACACATGAAAACATGTTTTCATATCAGACGTCATGCAAAACATCAAGCTGCGAGCGGAATGGCAGGAATGGGTGCTGGATTTGGAGGATATGGAGCAAGTAATGGTTTTGGACAGCCACCAATTCCTACACTTCCTTCAACATATAGTGTTCATGACTTTCATTCTTACGGATATCACGGAACTGGATTAACTGCTGGTTTACATTTTCATCTCGCAGCAAGTATTAATGCAGAAACTGACATTCCATTAGTTCCCTCAATGCAAACAAACGATCCAGCTTCACAGCCAAATTTCATTTTGCATTGGTTGAATAATAAAGATATGCATTTTTCGTTACAAGCGGAAGCTTTAATGCATGAAATGGCAAAGAAATTGATCGAGAAAGAAGATTTAATGAGTGCAGCTGATAATAGTCAATCGGAACATTCAGACGAGCAAAATCCAACAGATGAATTAAAGAAGAAATTGAGTAAAATCAACAAGTCAATGTCGCACGATGAAAGTCAACATAGCGATGTAGAAATAAATTATCAGCAACAACAACAATTATTACAACAGCAACAGAATGCGAATCGTTCGCATTCTATTGGAAATACGTCTAATGTAATTCCTCCATCGCATACATTGTCGAATACGACATCAATCCAATCATTATTAACTGATGGACAGGCTGCAGGTCAAGGTGGAACTAATGCACACAGCGGAACTGATTCATTAGATTTAAAAATCGAAGGATTATTAAAAGATTGGCACCATAATCCAGATTTATTATTTTCAATTCATCCAATTGATGGAAGTTTTCTCATTTGGGTTATTGAATATTTAGATGAGTATCAACCAAGCTCTTTCCGTCAAGCTCAAGTATCATTTTCGACAAGAATTCCATCAGCATTTCCTCTCGGTGATGCAATGTCCATGTCTACAACTGTCAGTCTCTATTCGAGTGCTATAAATTTCCTCAATTTCCGTGATATGGTTATAAAAACTGTAAAAGGTTCTTCAAATCTATCTACCAAAGAGAATATTTCTAAAGAAAATGTCGATGGCTCAGACACTCAATTGCCAAGTGTTCAAGAAGAAACACATGCAGACGAGGATGAACATGACGAGAATATAGAAAAAGAAACAAACAAGTCAAAAACAACAAATGATAAAAACGTATCAAATGATTCAGGAAATTTAAATGATACAGCGACTTCTGGAAGTGAATTATTAGTAGCTCCACCATCACCAACAATTTCTATGGTAACAAAACATTCGAATGGTACATTAAATCTTTGGCAATTGACTTTTGCTGACAAGAGTAAATTCTCACAAGTTTTGAGTATTGGTCATGCATCTCGAGCTAGTGGACATCGATTTAGAGTCAATGATATTACATGTCATCCAGTTTTACCACTTTTATTGACAACTTCACATCATAACATTCCTGAATTTAATGAAGATGATGAGAATGATAGTAATCATAGTGATTCCTTACCACGATTTACTGTTGATAAATTACAGCGTGGAAAGGATGTTTGTGTTCCTTCAGGTTTCTGTTCTGAACTTATTTTATGGCGTGTGGATGCTGTCGGTCCCCTATCACAATCTGGAGGTGTTAGTGAACTTGCTCGTATTAATTCACCTGAAATTTCTGCATTTAGTAATGTTGCATGGATTCCGACACTTTTGCCTAGTACAACACTTGGCAATTTGTCAAATTCTCCTTCCGCTTGTTTTGTAGCTAGTGATGGTGAATCACTTCGTGTATATCAAGCAGTCATTGATGCAAGAACTTTGTTGGCAGAAATTTCAGTTTCAGAACGACGTCACAGAATGATGGATTCAATGATGTCTTTATCCGAATGTTCATCAATTAATGACGGACTAATGCATCATCAATCTCCTTTACATGATAAAATTAAAATAGTTTCACAGCAATCAACAGCTCGCCCTGGATGTATTATTCAATTAGATGCAATTGCTGATGCTACACATGATTGGCAAAATACACAGTTTTTGCATGTATTTCAAGAACAATTGATAATTGGTGAACGAGGTGATTCTGAATCAAATTTATATTCCTCAATGTTTGATACTACAGCATTTGATACGGGTGAACAAATTGATGGATTAATGCAAAAGGAATTAGATGCTATGGTTGATTTACAAAGGAATTCAGTATTTGAAGAACCTTTCTATATTGTTGTTTTGGAACGAACTCATCATGGCACAACACTTCATATGTGGAGAATTGTCATTGCTTCTCAGCCAATTTCTGCTGATGAATTAACGAGTAGTATGATGTATGTACCAGACAGCAATATTGTTCAAGATTTAGAAGATGTTGATGAACAGCATAAACTTGGAAGACAATCAACTGTTGGACTAGACGATTTGAAAGATGCACCACCTGGAATTAATGATTATTGTCCAAAAGTCAATATTCAAACAACAAAAGTATGCACACAGGAATTACCGTTGCCCGAAGGAGTTGATGTTATTCATGCTGCTCCAGCAGCTGGTCATCTTAGTTCATCATCTATTTATCCAGCCTGTTTTGCACCTTACATTATTGTGACTGCATGCTCAGATTCAAATGTTAGATTTTGGCGTTGTGAAGTGACAAAAAAAAATGGAACTAATAATGCAGCAAAGTTCAAATATGAATGGTGTGAATGGGATATGATTCGGAAAGATCAATCGTCTGCAATCGATGTAAATGGACAATTGTTGCATATTAGTGCTGCGTATAGTGGTCGAATTGCTTGTGCATATAAATATGGAAAATCTTTTACTCGTCCAACAAAAGCTGATCCAGATTCGCGATATGTAAATCTTTGTGTTGCAATTTATGAATGTGAAAGTACTGGCGGAAGTGAATGGATTCTTGAAGACACGATTCATTTAAAGAACATTCATCTACCAAGAATACAAGTCGATCCACATTTAGATTTGAGTTATCTTTATGATCATAAATCATTGGCAAAGAAACAAAGATTACAGCAAGTTCTTCATCCTTTTGCACATGATGATTTACTGAGAAATCCAGGAAGTCGAAATGGTGGAAGTCAAACAAGTATAAATAATGGAGATTTAACACCCGAAGGAGTCAAGAGTGGTAATGGACTTTTAGCAGTTCCAAGTTTCAGTACTTTACAGAGCTTAAGGAAATCAATAACAGAACATGGAAATACATGTCCACTGACTCAAAAACATCTTGTTCAATTAGACTGGGTATCAAAGGAAGATGGTTCACATATTCTAACAGTAGCTGTTGGCAGTAAAATATTCCTTTATAGCCCTGTGTCGAGTGATGTAGCTCAAGCAAATATGAAAGCAATGAAAGAGAGTCAAACAGCAAATAGACCTCTACTAAGAAAAGCTAGTTCCTTAGCACGTCCAAGTTTCAATGAAGAAATTCGATGGATGAAATTGCGACAAATCGAATTGAAAACTGCTGATGGTTTACCGCCATTACCAATGCAAATATCTTGGGTACGTGATGGAATTTTCGTCGTTGGAATGGATTCAGAAATGCATGTTTATTCACAATGGAAGCCTCGCGGTTATGAACAAATATTATTACATCACCTAGAAAGTCTGGACAATTATCACGATACGAGATTGTTAAAAGATGAGGATTTACGTTCATTAGCAACTGAAAGCAATCAAAGATTATTAACAAATGTTCCTTCAATGCCACATTTGTCAAGAGTTAGTGCAAATAATTTACAGCTCTTTGGTGCTCAAGAAAAGAAGAAGAAAAGTCCAAATCCTGAAGTCGTTGTCAATCCTGATTACATGAATGATTTTGGACTCTTTGAAGCTTCTCGTATTGCATGCCCAGTCTTGCCACAATATCATCCAAAGCAATTGATGGAACTTCTTAATTCTGGTAAAATTAGATGGGTAAAGGCAATTCTAGCTCATTTAGTTCGCTGCATTAGTGGATCATGTGCAGTTCGAGGAAGTAATGCCGACGAAGAGAGTCTTAATCGTCAGGTATGTAGCTTGTTTAATAATTTCTCCTCTATATCCAAACTAGTTCGGACAGCAATTTACTTTTTATTATTTAGCAAAACTTTCCAAAAACGTTGCCAAATTCCTTATTACTAGCATAAATTAATAGTTGAAACCTTTTGATGAAAATTGATTTCTTTTGCTTTTTATTATATTAATCATAATTAGAACTGTCCAAACTGGTTGAGCTCTTTTACCTATGTACCTATTAATGTCTAAACATACATATTAACTCTAAACATAATCTAAATTATCTTCAAGTCACTGCCACTCTTTTGCTTGAAAAAAACTTTATCTTCTTACTTTTATAAACTTTTCTTTCCTTTATTTAATATAAACTTTTTGAATGTCCTACTCTATCTCTACCTATGCAATTTGCTTATAGGATCACATCTTTTTAAAGAATAATCACCTTTCTATCTATGCATAATATCTTGTATACTTAATCAAATAGAACTAACATTTATTATTCAGTTACGCTTTTCTTTTCAATTAACACAAATTAATAGTGTATGCTTCACATTTTTACAGTTTTTATTGCAACATTCAGAAATTATTGCGTGATGATAAAAAACAAATAACTTCGGTTCCTATATTTTAAATCCTTTTACTTCATTATTCCTTTATTTTTTGTGTGAATAATTTAAAAGCAAATTATTCAAAATTCCCAAAAATTTATAATAATGTTATGAGTTAAAAAAAAGTATAATTTTTATTAAATTATTGTTTTGTTCGTATGAAATATCTTCTCTCTATCATGCTTTTACAGCGAGGGTGGTCACGGTCTCGCACACTCTCAGTGAGCTATCCAGCTGGCACGACTACTAGTCCATTAGAAGGTCGTGGTTCAACCACTCAGGTGCGATTTTTGATTTAAGTGAAAAACGTTCAATTAACATTTTTTGCATCAACATTTTTTTTGTTCATGTGTTTGTTGTCACGAGTATATTTGTCTATAGTTTAATCTAGTCTAGTGTAGCAAAAAAAAAAAAAAACAAAAAAAAAATAACATGATATAGTTTGCACATGAAATTGTGAAATGTGATTAGATACTATACTCATTTTTAATTAATGTTCTTTGCTTTCTGACTACTTGATAATATTGGGGTGGAGTTTAACTGATAAAAAAAATTGTTTTCTTTTATAAACTTTATGATTAGATACCAGAAGAACTCACTCTTGATTATGCTGAAATCACTTCTATTCCTCCATTGCCATTATGGACACTTTTGGCTGCTGATAAGGAGAATATCATTCAACAACAAAAAGAGGAAGTCAAGGTAAACGGTTTTTCTTGATTCAAAAGTATAATTGTTTTCAAAAATTCAAAAAAAAAACAGAATTTGAATTTTTGAAAACCGTAAGTATTTGAAATTTTTACAAATCCGTTGAAAATTTTGTTCATTTGCAGGATTACAACGAGCTCTTTGAGAATAATGTCGCAGAAGACAATTTAGATGATTTATTGGAAGATGATGATGTTGAATCAACAAGACGTTTTGATCGTCGCTCATCAATTCCAGAAAGACAATATTTATCGCATTTTGGCCCAAGACAAGGCCAATTGCTGTCAAGATTACTCACTCATACTCATCTTCCTGGTTTATCAAGTTTAGATCAGATGCATTTGCTTGCTCTCGCCGATACCGTCTCAACATGCAATACAGATTTTGCTGAACGCTTTGCTATTGCTGCTGCAAAAACTGCTATTGCTAAAGAGAATCTTACTGGAAATCCAGGCGATAGTGAGAATATTTCAACAGATTCATTGGATGATTGTGGATTAAGATTTTTGTTGGCAATGAAACATTTTAATTATTTAATCAGATGTTTACCGCTTGTACAGCGTTCTCAATTCCAAAAGCAAGGTGTTGGAACTTCAAATATTGTTTGGGCATTTCATTCTGAGAGCGAAGAAGATTTGTTGAATTTAATTCCAAATTATTCGAAAGGACAAATAAAATGGTCTCAATTAAGAGAACTGGGAGTCGGTTGGTGGCTTAGGAATCAGACAGTTTTAAAGACTTGCGTTGAGAAACTAGCAAAAGCATCATTCCAACAAAAACAAGATCCACTTGATGCAGCAATTTATTATATTGCAATGAAAAAGAAGTCTGTTGTTTGGGGTTTATTTAAACAATTGAGGGATGATAAAATGACTGGATTTTTCGCAAATAACTTTAATGAAGATCGATGGCGTAAGGCTGCCTTGAAAAATGCATTTGCATTGTTGGGAAAACAACGTTTTGAGCATGCTGTTGCATTTTTCCTTCTTGCTGGTAGTTTAAATGATGCATTAGAAGTATGTTTAACGAAATTAGATGATTTGCAATTGGCAATGATTATAACAAGACTTTATGAAGGAGAACATGACAATACACCACCAAGCTACAAGAAATTACTGTATGAAGAAATTTTAGGATGCGATAAGAATGGTGAGGATCAAGATATCGATAAAGCACATCCTGATCCATTTTTACGATCGATGGCGTTGTGGATTCTTAAAGATTATTCTGGATCTTTGTCAACTTTATTGCAAAATAGTGTTGGAATTTTACATAAAGCATATGACGATGAAGATCCACTATTACATCCAGAATTAAATCATGGAACGAATTCAAATGCAGCAACAACAGCAAATCCAAATGTTTTCAATTTCTATGTGTATCTACGTACACATCCATTGATTATTCGTCAACATATTGCGAATACAGCTCAAGAGAAGAGAAAGGCACAGGTTGTGTTGAGTGGCTTTAGTTTTGGTGGAAGTATTGGCGGTGCTAGTTTAGCTCGAACTGATAGTATTGGATTTATGGGACAAAATGCCAAAATTAAATCAAGCACAATAACAGCTGATAAGCAATTACATTTGGAAGATTCAATAACGCCATTAGAAAGACAATTGTACTTTACAACAGCACATGGACATTTTAAGGCTGGTTGTCCAGCTTTAGCATTAGAAGTTCTCAGTAAATTACCCACAAAAGTTATCGATTCTGAAATTAATGAAAGTGATGACAATACTAGCATAACTACAGATAAAAAGGACGCTACATCAAATCTTATAGAAACTGGTACATTTGATTGGAGTCAGCCTGTGACTAATAGTAATAATGTATTAGAAAGTGCCGGTAGTTTTGATTGGGGTGCTCCAGTCGCTCAGTCTGCTGACGATGGTTTCAAACTTGTCTGGGACGAAGAGGAACCAGCTGATGATGAAAGCGATGATGGCTTGGGAATGAAAATTGATGCATCGAAAGACAATACCAAAATAAATGTAGAATCAAGTGATAATATTAATTCTAGCCATAATAATGATAAGCACGGAAAATTGGATATAATGGCACAGCAACTTAAATTTATTGCATGTTTAAAAATTTTAATGGAAGAATTGTCAACATTAGCGACTGGTTTTGAAGTTGATGGTGGACAATTGCGTTATCAATTGTATGTTTGGTTAGAGCGTGAAGTTGAGGCATTAAAACAATTGTGTAATTATAGTACTAGCGATAGTGGAGATAGTACGAATGTTACATTAGAAGATCATGCAGGCGGTGCAATTGATAGTCAGCATGAAACACCATTGATGGGAAATAAGTTTCACCATAATGATCGTCCAACGCTTCACGAGATTCTACTACAAGAGAAACATGATTTCGAAGCGAAAGTAGCAAGAGCAGCAAAAAGAAAACGATGGTTGAAAGCTAATGAAACATTATTAAGAACCTTGTTGAGTTATTGCTCTTTACATGGAGCAAATGGAGGCGGTTTAGCATCAGTCCGAATGGAATTAGTTCTTTTATTGCAAGAATTACAACAAGAAAAGACTCAACAACAATTACTTAGTCCATTACCATTCCCAACCACTTTACCTCTATTATCTGCTTGCGTTGCTGGAAATAAAACAGTTATTGCCGATCCAATTCGTTATATTCAGAGTCAAACACACGATATGCTTCAAACAATTGTCGAATTACGTGGCCCTCCAGTTGGATTGAACGATCCTGATACTTCTGATGTTTTCATTCTTCGTGATCTTGCCGTAGCTCTTTCAGCGTGCATCTATCAATCATTGTGTGACAGTGATACATTTAGTGTTAAGCAATTAACAGCAAATGAATGTCATTCACCAGGAATGGAAACAATCGCAAAATTAAATGCAAGTTGTCAAAGTACACATTTAATGGCAAATGCACAAGCTCATACTAGACGACGAAAGTATTCTACAGATGAGCCAGTCGCTGTTTCTACTCCACCACCAAAATGGCCAGGAGTGACTAATTTGCGAGCTTTATTAGCACGTGAAAAGGATGAAGATACACCAAGACTTAATGTTCTTCTTTGTGAAGTCTTTACCGCATCGTTTATGTCCTTGTTGGTATATGCACTAGCCACATGTGATTGTCACATACTTTATAGACTTGTTGGACAAAGATTTAGTGATTCATCTTGGGCACTTTTGTATGGCGGTGGAGTAAAAAAATTACTCAGAAAAGCAACATCTCATGTTCAAGCAGCTCAACAAATGGTTCAACAACAATTACAACAGCAAACTAGCAGCGAAGGTGAAGCTCCTGCCGAAACTGGTGTGTGGAATACAGTGACTTCAATAACAAAACATCGTGTAAAGATGAATTTAAAGATTTTGGGACAATTTGGAGGTCAACAAAGTTCAACAAATATGAAGGAAGATAAGCCAACTTATCGAGAACAATTTGTTCCACCAGAAATGTCTATGGTTAGTTATTTCTTAACAAAACCAATGTTGTGTGGCGATAAAAATGAAGACGATTATGATTCAGCAGATAGTGCTGTAAGTGATTTAGACGACGACGATGATGATGAAGATGTATTTGCAGATCCATTATCAAATGATCCAAAGAAATTGCAAACAGCTTTAGCTATCAAGAGACATAAAAAGGAAAATACAGAACATACAAATCCAAATTCATTATCATGGTGCATTTTAAGAATGGCAATCGTTAAGCATGCCCAAATTCAGCTACATTCATTCATTAATATAGCTGGATTAGAGTTACAAGAACTTCCAGTTTGTAGTCCATTAATTCACGGAACTCTCAGAAGTTTAGCAATATGGCAAGACTTGTTAAAGGAAGAATTAGAATCGCGTGGACCAGCTGGTGCAGATTTTATTCCAGGATGTTTTGTTGAAGACGATACGAAAGGTCCATCAATTGGAAAATATCGAACAATTCTTGAAAGGAATAATACTCCATTTACTCCAAGTGCTGCTTCTGCGGCCCCTATTCGTCGTCTTTGGAACTACATGGTACGTCAAGAAGCATGTCAGGATGTTTTTATTCGTGCAATATTTGGAAAGAGAAAAACATTTAATTTTGACACCCAACAATCACATTCACATTCAACTCAAGCTGGAAATGTTCCATCCGGCTCTAATTCAGTCATCGACTTTTCACAACATAGTGATGCAATAGTTAACAATTTCGGTGGTTCAGGTGGTAAAGATTATCAACAGCTTGCTGAACCTGTCAGAATCATACACAAGGAACAAGAATCAATTTCTGCATTTTGTATTAATTTAGCAAATCAAGGAATGATGGCATTAGCGACACCAAAAGAACTTCAAGAAATCGACATTTCCTTATTGCTCGAATCTCCAAATTGGTTAGAAGATGAATGTGAATTTGACATTATGAATTTGTCAAAAGACGTGGATACACTTCCTTCAAGCGGCTTTCTTGTCATTCAAGCTTCCGGTATTGATAGGTAATTATTAAACTTTATAATATTAGGAAAGAAACTTAATTGTTTAATCATTATAAAGAGCTGCTGCAATGAATCAAGCACAAAATCTTCAACAAGCACCAATGCCTGTTAGTCCACAGCCAGGGCTTGCACCGCAATCTGGTCGGGGAGCTTCTGTGGTATGTTCTGTTTAATATTTAAATTTAATTTTTTATTATTGATCATAATCACGATTATACACACACAATATGATAGTAGCACAAATGCTAGTCACTTCTATAGCGTGTCACATCCTTTATATTCTGTGCGGGTGTGTGTGTGTGTATAAAAATGTTTGTGGTCAATATTGTCTTGCATATAAATATAACATTAACATATTATATAATATTAATGGCCTCTCTTTACTAATCATGTGCATTTTCTCGCTTCTCCTTTGCTGCCTGTTTTGTAAAATCTATGTTAAAAATAATAATAATAAATTGTCCTGAAATTTTGATCGTTTTGCATAAATCCAAAAAAAAATGACGAAAATAACGTAAATTGAATGAAATTTGTGTCCATAATGCAATTGATATGAATTGAAATAGATAAAAGGCGCTGTATTTGCGGGAAGTCACGATGCAAGATATTGCAAATTCATCATAGACCGATCGAAACACTTTTTGAGACCGGTACTTTGTTTTATCTCAAAATAATAGAAAGTCACACATTAGATTATGATTTTTTTTAACACTTTCGAGATTGTATCTTAAGTTCCTCAAATTATTTATCGTTTAAGTCATTAGCTTTTGTTGTTTGATATTTATGTTGATTGAAAAATTTGATTAAACCTTATTTTTTGTGGATGAATGTTCCTTTTTTGTCCTGAATTGAATAACAATATTTTAATGCACTTAATGTGAATCAATAGGTGCTGAAACATAAAATCGATAACATCAAGAGAATGAGCGCACATCCTTTAATGCCATTATACATTACTGGTTCACAAGATGGATCTGTTCAGATGTGGGAATGGGGGCATCAGCAAGCTGTTTGTACGCCAAGACCACCAGGCACTTTTGCTAAAGGTTAAATTCATAAATATTTTATTCGTACTCTTGTTATGCTAAGAATGTTGTTTTTTGTTCAGTTACGCGATGTCGATTCTCGCAACATGGTAATAAATTTGGAATAGCAGACGGCGATGGAAAATTGAGTTTATGGCAAGTCGGGCTTGCATCACAAAGTAATAGATCATTCTTTGTAAGTTTCATTACTCTTAATCTTATTTTCATGTGATGCTTAATGTATTAGTTATTTTACAGTCAAATGAATGTCACAATAAACTCATATCGGACTTTGTGTTCTTGGGTTCGTGTAGTTTAGTCGCAACAGGTGAGTGTTTAAATGGTTATTTTCTGATTTCTTTTCTTGATAATATTTTAATGCAATCATCTAGCTGGACACAGTTCTGAAAGCAAGAACGTAGCTATTTGGGACACACTTTTACCACAGAAAAAAGCATTGGTTCAATGTAAGAAATAATTCATTAAACAAATTTCTAGATTAGTAATGACTATATTTTTTTATAGCATTTGCATGCCATGATCAAGGTGCATCTAGCTTAGTCTATGCTCCACAACATCAACTTTTGATTTCAGCTGGAAAGAAAGGAGATGTGTCTATATTTGATGTGCGTCAAAGGACTTTAAGACATCGTTTCCAGGTACGTCAATTTCTTTCAAAATATAGTTTACTATGCATGACTCAGAAGTTACGATTATAAATAAACTCGTGAGTAAATATTTTCTTTGTAGGCACATGACACAGCAATTAAATGCTTGGCTGTTGACCCTCACGAAGAAATTTTCATTACTGGTTCAGCCGATGGTGACATAAAGGTAATTTATATAAACTCATGATAAATTTTAAATAAATAATTACCATTTATTGATGATTTTAGATTTGGGCACTTCCCGCGCCAATCAGTACGCCATTATTTTACTATCCAGGCGAGCATAAACATAGCAGTTTCTTTAAACATACAGGACAAGGAGTAACACAAATACACATCGATCAATTTGGTAGACTGTTTTCATGTGGAGCTGACGGTTCCATGAAGATTCGCTCTTTGCCAGACCGAGACACAATTGTTAATGCAATTTATTAAGGGATGAATGAAGAATGTCTAAAACTTTTTAAAACTAATAACGATTTAATGAAAAAAATTCTCTTTACGACTTTCGATGTGTTTAAAGTTTCGTTTCATATTTTAATAAGAAAAAAAAAGTAAGGAAATCATAATGTTTATGTAATTGTCTCCAAAAGAAGAATAAGAAGAAGGAGAAAAACTTATTAAATACATAAAAAGCTCTATTTAAAACAATTTTTCATAATTCTTAATAATTTAATATGATTAAAGTGATATAATGAGAACTTATAAGTAAAGAAAGACATGTTGAATAGAAACTGAAAGCTAGCAAGACATTTGATTCTTAACATGTCTCTTTTTTATTATTGATATTTAAGCTAATCATTACTCTCATCCTATTCTTTTCGATATCGAATAATTGCATAATTGATCATAAAAGAATCAAACTTAATCTACCTAATTCTATAACGCACGCTGTTAGTGTTGTTGATATTAAAGAGAAAAAAAAACATCCCCGATAATAATAATAATCAATCTATATACAAATAATAAAAATATATATAATAATATTAACTGAGAAGGATTTCAAATCGTTATACAAGCATAAATCATAGATTAAAATGAGTCAAAAATAATAGTTGTTAAACATAACACATAAAATGGGATATGGCTGATTATTATGCAATTTAATGCAATGAGGAACTTAAACTATATAAGAATATAATGTGTTAATCCTTTCTTTCTATTTTTATCTTCAAATTTACATTCTATTTCCTCGTTTTAAGTTCTAAGACAAACTTTAATATACATCTACAAAATATATATAAAGTAACGAAAAGCTAGCATTAAAAAAAGGTTTAATGCTACTTGAAAATAAAGTAAGATATATAGTATCAATAAAAAAAATGTCTTATGAAGAGATAAATAATATTAATAATATGATATACATACATAGCCCACAACAGTTGATGAAAGCTAGCTCAATAATGATATTGTGCTTATGGATTGTATCAGATGATCTAGCATGTTGTGTCTATTTTGGGCATATGGCATATAAAATCAATGAAATAATGTTTTTAATTATTATTATTCAAAGAATTATTATTGCAAAGTTTATAATTTAGCTGAAAGTGAATAATAAATATATTGTTGGCTATGAAAAATCAATGCTGCAAGCACAAAGAATTTCTATTTCAGGTAATTTTATTAAATCTATTGTATTATTGTATTTTACAAAGAATAAATTGTTATTTCTACTGTTCGACTTCAACTTCAACTTCTGGTGCCTCATCCTGTCCTTCCTCACTTTTCTTTTTCAAGTACATATTCCTTAAAATGTAACCCATTGGACGTGCGTCTGGATACTTATCTGTTAAATAGCTTTTAATTTCACCATGTTCACACAACATATCAAACTTGATCTTTTTGTGATTTCTACGTCCTTCGAGCTTTTTCAAGTGAATATGATATCCATAACTATTAGCATAAAATGGAGGGAACTTTTTCTTCTTTAAAACGACCTTTCCGTCCATTGCAAACGTATTGTAATCCATAATTTCATCATATCTGATATCGCTTTGCTCTCTACAGACTTTCGGAGTTCCAACAACTTTTGGGAAGTTTCCAAATTCTGGTCTATATTCAACAAGATTAAGACCTTTTGCTTCTGCTATATCATCATACTTTTTCTGTGCTAATAATCCTAAGAAGAATGCTTTTACAATATGCTGTACACCTTTTGATCCTTCAACTTTTGCATAAAGGTTTTTAATGCCAACTAATTGACATATTTCTTTGATAGCACGATGACAGATTAATCCATGACCTTCAGGCTTCTTCTGTACGAATATTTTTGTTAACCCAAAGGAACAGGCATAATCATGAAAGACAGTATGACCATCACATAATTCTATATGCATTAATTTCTGTGCTGCGCGATTTTTAGCCTTTCTCAACACTGCTCTTCCATCGACAGCTTTGGCACTAGCAAATCCAGCTAGTCCATTCTTATTTCCAGTTACAACAAATGCTGAAAGACGTCTTTTTCTTCCCAAATTACCTTTCATATTGAAAACTTGCTTAAATTCTATGACTTTTGTATCGAATCCTTCAAAACTATCTTCAGCAATTTGATCTGGCGCACCAATACTTCTTCCTGGCATCTTGTTTCCTGACCATCCACGATCTAAGGTGCTTATTTTCTGGAACTTTTTACTTGCCATAGCATCACGAAGTTTTAAAATCTTTGCTTCACGATCTGGATCAGCTGGAAGTTGATTTCGTTGCACCAACTCTCGTCCACGAATTATAGGAGCTGAAAGTCCAGGCCATTGAATATTTGCCTTTCCTAAACCAATAACTTGTCCCCGATTTAAATCCTTTCTTCTAATTAATCCTTTCGCTCTTCCTCTTTTCTTTCCAGCATTTGATACTGATGTTACTCCTTTCCATAATTCAGTAGCCGGCACTAAAAATTAAGTTAATTAATGATATATTAAAGATTTTCAATTTTTGAATTCTCACATTTTACGAAGAAACTTGTGTTGCGTGAAAAATTTAGGTTTAAATCATGATTTCTGTTTAAAACACTCGTTGATGTTGAACAAATCGTAAGGTTTTGGAAGGCTCGTGACAGATACCTTGATGTCTGCAGCAATCTGAGCGCCATTAAGTTTATTTAACTGCTTAAAAACACAAAATTGATAATTTGTTGAAATATTTATCTTTTCAACAAACTTCTTCTATTCCCTTTGATTCTATGTTCGAATAGCATTTTGTTCGAAAACGGCATGAAATCTCCTTTAATTTGTGACAGCGACGCACTCTATGTAAGTAGCAGACTAAAATATTAAGTCAAAGTGAATAGAAGATAACACATGCTGAGCAGAAATCATGCACAAACAGTCTATTCTTTTCGTCAAAATATAAAAGTTATTTATAAAAGTTTAATTTATTGTGTTTGTCGACATGAAACAGTGATATAGTGTGTTAAATTAGATCATAGGACATTAGAGGATTAGGTGGATATAGGAGGAATAGCATAAGTAAGTGATTTTCTGTAGAATTTTCGATTTGAAAAAAAAAATTCGCATAAAAAAATAAAGTAAATGAAAATTGATATGCAGCACATACATTATGTGACATACAATAAACAAATTAGAATTTTGCATGATATCTGAGCAGTTTTAATTAGGGTGTGTATCAGTTCATGCCTAAATTTACACAAGTTTTTAACATCCATAACTTTATATTATTATTATTATCAATCTACTTACAGTCAGTCAGTCGTTTAATCGTAAACTAGTCAACATGGTTCGAGTCATGAGTATATTCCACTTTGCATCTCAATCAATACAGCAGTTAGAAATAGAAGAATTGTCAGCTGCATGTTTAATAAATCAAGACTTTATAGCATTAGCAAAGAACTTTGATCATACAATAGAGATAAGGAAATTGAGTACTGAAGTATCTGATACTACTGAAGGATCTGACGACTCAAATAGCACAACAATTAAATCATTCTCTAGTGTTGACGATGTGCAACAACTATTCTATTCGAATTTTGGCAATTTCTTGATTTCCGTCGAAGGACGCATTAGCAATTATGAAAAGGCTGAAATTCGATACGTTAGAATTTATGTGAATTGGGATAGTCTTACATTGTCAGCTGCACAGTCTCAGGCACCACTTCGTGCACGCATTGCTGGAAAAATAACGCCGATGAAAAAGTCTTTAGAAATGATTGAATTACCATTAAATTATAATCCATCCATCGTTACGTTTTGTCAAAGCACTGGAAATATATTGGTTGGACAGAAGAATGTTCTACAATTATTCTACTTTAAATACTGCACGAATGAGACAACAAAGTTACAGTACATAGACTTTTTTGAAGCACCATTTAAAATAGAATTAAGTTTTGAACCGACAAAAGTGCTTCTAACTGAAAATGTTGTATGCTGTTGCAATAAGCAATACCTTCACGTTTTCAAAATCGTTAATCGCAATGAAAGCAGCAATAGTACTATATCAGAATCCAATTTCTGTACATCAACGGAAATTCCGCAAACCAAAGAAACCCAAAATATTAATTTGGAATATAATGTCGATTTTAAAGAGATTTGTAAACGAAAGGAATTGAATGGAAATCCATTTAAGGTTGATATAAAAAGCAATCAAGAAGATATTTTGGGATTTGATGAGTCCGAAATGAAGCCATTAATTGTCAACGAATTAAATGTTAACATAAAGCAGCAATTAAATCTTCTTGAATCATCGATGTTATGTGCACAAAATTTGATTCAATTAAAACTGCAGTCAATGAAAATTAATGGAATATTGCGTGAAAATGTGGATATTTTCAAGTCTATATATTTGAAGCCACTTTATGTTCGACCAAAAGTGTCTGAGAGAATCAGCGAATTTTCATTGCATTCAAAGTTTTATGAACACTTTTATGGATGCGCAATATTAATAACAACGCAACAAGATGCTTTTCTGTATCAAATTAATACAATAAGTCAGCAAGAGGATCTCTCAAAGTGCTTCCTAAATGTTTATCCATTCACATCGAATTTAATTGATGTTTATTTCAACTCTAATGTGCTACATGCTCTATGCGAGAATGGAATTGAGTCGTACACCCATCGTATTTCTCAAAAACTGTATACTGATTTGGGTGGAAAGTATAATATCCCGGAAATAGGAGCAATATACAAGAATCTTTCAAATGCTATATCATTAATAAATTTAAGGCCATTTATGAATGTCCATTATATGATTCCTAGTGATACGAATGTCGTTTTGCTTGCAAATGATTCACCGAATTCACCAAATGAAGAAGGCGAGGCAATTAATTGGACAATTTACAACTTGCAAATTCCTACAATCAACACAATTTATCAAGATTTTAAAGAGTTTGCAGACAAGAGTTTAAAGCGATATCCTTCATTCTATATAAATCTACTAGAAGAAATGCACTTGATGATTAAAGCTCACATCATGCTCGGTGAATTTCAACCTGAAGAAAATTCTGAAGTTGGCAATGAAATGAAGCTCGTTTGGAATGATTGTGAAGAGTTATTTATAAAATCGTCATTAGCAGTAGCTGATTTCTTTGTTCTGTAAGTATAATATCGTGACTTTTTGTAATTCAAATTCTTTATCCTGATTTTATAATCCAGAAATAATCCATGCGAGCACAAACAAAGTCTAATCTTCTATGAAATGGCTAATTTGAGCATCATTGGAATATTCCAACGTTTCCTTGATCAAAACGGAATGATTGTGAGTATTAATTTCACAGCCTTTTTTTTGAATTTTAAGTATAATCCTTCCATTTAATGTAGTTTTCACCTTTGGGATTGATTGAAGTTTTAAAGATGAGTTTTTATAACGTCACGTTGACACACGACAACCAAAAGTTTGATGAAATATTTTCAAGCACAATAAGCTATCCAATCAATGAGAATGATGTAAAAGTGATCAAATTTGGTGAGGCTATAATTGAGTTGTTTAGTCGATTTGCACCAAAAGAAATTGCAATGCTGACATTGGAGTCATGTGGTGTTTTTCGTGAATATATGGATGAGAAAATCTATGAATTTTTAATCAATTATGATGACAAGTCAAATGAGGAAATGCTGTGCATAATTTTACATTTATTGAAGAAAGACGAAGTGTCCGCATCAAACTCGTTATTGGATCAAATCAAGCGTGAAGATTTATATCAACTTTTAGTACGTCATTGGAATATTTTATTTGAATTTAGCACGCACGGTGTTGCATCGTCAACGAAAAAATTGTCAAAATCAATCATCAGCTTCTCAGATTTTACAGAGCTTTTGTTCCTTACAAATTCATCGTTTGAACGTTGTGAGCTTTTTACAGACGTGCTTCTTTATCACATTTATGACACAAAAATGATTAAGTTTAATGGAAACATGAAGCTTTTTATGGAATATTTAGCATCCCAACTGGGACATGATTCATACTTGAATGGACAGAATATATTAAAGATGTTGTTGGAAAAGTATTTATTGCGCTATTATGATACAAGAACACAGGATGAAATGTCTCTTTTATCAACAACATCTACAACTGTCTCATCATCAGTTTCTGAAGAGCCACAAAAGCAGGTCCAAAAGAATGAAAGAAAGCACAGCTTTTTAAGTTGGAATAATGATGATGATATGCACATTGGAAGTCATCATAAGCATGCAATGAGAATTCTTATGCGTGTTTATTTAAGCCAATTAAAATCAATGAGCTTGAGACAGGAGAAACGAGCAGGACAGGATACAAGGATTAATAAAGCACAATTATTTAAGGTGATTAACGAAATGAGCACAAGTTTATTTATAAATCAAAAATCAGTAACAAAATTTGACAAAATCGCACAATTATTGATACAACATTCAGGATCAAATCCAATTCTATTTTTGGACGAACGTTATCGGTATTTGGATTGGTTTCCTCCATTCGAAAGCATATTACAGTTGCTAAGTAACACGGACGCATATGAAAATCAATATGATTATACCAAAATTGACAAGGATTTATTATTGACACTTATTAAGTTACAAGCTATTTTATGTAGTGGTGAGGTTTCATCCGATATTGCAAAAGAAATATTAAGTTATTTGGAATCTAATCGTGAATTGATTGGACATGATAGCATAATGATTTGTCTTTTGCCATTAAACCAAGCCGTTGATCTCATTATTAAAAATAATCCACAATGTATCTTAGAGTATGCACGGTGCCATTTTAAGTTTGATAACGATTGGAGCAATTTAATTAAAATTTTACAAAAGCAGGCAAATGAGTTTGAGGTATGCGAGGCTAATATGGGACAAATTCTCTTTTATCAACGTTTATTGAAAGAAACTTTAGAATTTTTGGCATCAACCAAGAGTCTTGATGTGGTTTTGAAGATATTTCCAAGCGATAAACATTTAATTAACAATGAAGTCTTTGAAACAATTGATTCAAAATTAAATAATGAGTTTGAAGATTATGTAAAGATATGCGTTGATCGTGAACGAAGTGATAAAATTAAGAAAATGGTCGAGCAGACCGGCATGCAGCTTTATGACGCCATAACCAAATGAATTTGTAATTTTTTTTTTCTTCATTAAAATGACATTTAATTAGTGCAATTTCATGCTTTCTCTGTGAAAATTGATATTTATTGACTTAGACCCGATTTAATCAATGTCTTTGAACGTGAGCTTGCTGTTTGATTACGGTTTTGAAATTTTTTTTATTTTAACGGTTCATAGGATTTTGAATTGCAGTCTAGATTTAGCAAGAAATTTGAATCTCCCAAATCAGTTATTTTTTAAAAAATTTGAAAAGCTACTAATGCTTGGTTTTTGTACCAAGATAGACATAAAATCAGTGTTGCAAATGTAGATGTCTACACTAGATGAAGAATGTAGATTCTTCAATAGTTTTTGTCTAGCTAAGAAACTTTCTTCATAAAGATCGATTCTACATGTAGAAAGAAAAAAACCATCTACATGTAGATTGTGTCTACATGTAGAATCTGTCTACATGTAGATTCGATGTAGATGTCTATAATTCTACATTTTTTCCAGGTCTACATCAGAGAAGAATGTAGAATCGTAGACATCTACATTAAATCTACATGTAGACAGATTCTACATGTAGACACAATCTACATGTAGATGGTTTTTTTCTTTCTACATGTAGAATCGATTTTATGAAGAAATTTCTGTCTCAGAATTTATCTGATCCAGACAAATAGCCAGAATGCAACACTGCATAAAATTCATGGTAATGAACATTTTGTACAACGATTCAGCTGACACCGCTCTCATACAGCAAACTCATAAAACTTTTCTCTCGTAAATTGTGTGTAACGTGAAGAAAAACTATTAATATGCCTTTTTAATAAACACTAGCAATTTGTAGAAGAATCTAAAACTTTATGATCACAAAAAAGGAAGAATGAGCAAATAAAAGTTTTCTTTAATCAGAAAAAAATTCTTTATTAGAATCCAATTTTAAAGTTTTAATCGTTTTAATAAAAAAAAATTATGATGATTAATAATTATTCCTTTTCTTTACTTTAACAATTGATTTAAGCATTCTTCTTTCTGGATGAGATGCGTAGTTTTATTGACACAAGCCATTAATTCGTTCAGCCCACTTGACCAGTCATTGAGGATTTCTGATTGGCTCTTCTTTTGAGTAAAGTAAATGATTCCTGAAGGTCGATCAATTTTCACTTTCAAAGTTCCATTATTGACGAGTTTAGCTAGGACTTCTTCGGTTTTAAGTTCATCGAGATCCAAAAGCTCAGCCATTCTCGAGATGTTGATGCGCGTATAATAACTTGCAATTATGCGAACATTCTGTAATCGACTTTTATTACTAAACTTTCCTTATAATTAAAGGAGGTTCATAAAACTTACATGTTCGATTAAACGATTCTTCAGTTCCTCCCAGCTCTTTTTTCCATGTGCTGTTTCTTTATTGAAGACAGTTAGAGTCAATAATTCCTTTCCATACAGTTGATTAAGGGCATCAAAATTAATGAGTTCTTTGCAGAGGAAGAGCTTCAAAAGTTCCCTATAAAAAATATTAATTAAAGGATTAGCAACAGAGAATTAATATCCCTTAGACATCAACTTACTTGTATATGGGTATTTCCTCCAAACTCTTATTCTTGTATAAATTATTCATCAAATCGACTTGCTCATTATCATAAGGAGATAAAATACAATAAAGTACAGCACTTATCATGACAGGCTTGCGCTTTGCGGCACAACTTGAGATACATTCAGAATCGGCAATTGCAAGGTAGTATCTTGATGTCTTAATGTATGATTGATCTTGATCCAAAAGAATCATCAATTCATAATACTTTAATTTAAGATCCTGATGTTCAGAATCATTGAAGAACTTTGTATTGATTTTCTTGGAGATAATTTGAGTACGAACGAGATCATGCTTAGCTAAACATAATCGCATTTGCTCGAGAATGAATTCAACCTTTTCTTTCTTATCCATAGTACCATAAGTTTCGATTTGTAAAGCTTCCATTATTGTTGCGGCACCAAGAATATCTCCATCAGCTTCCTTAATATCTGAAAGGATTTTCGTCAAACGAGCTCGCTCATTTTCAACGTAGATTTTTCCTTCAGTTACAACTCTTAATGTATCAATTAATTTGATCTTTGTCTCCTTATCTGGTGTTTGGTCAACATAAATTACACATTCTTGGACCATCTTAACAATTGCTTGTTTGGACTGTGATCGCTTCTTAGCTAAAACTGAAATGTATTCATTCAACAAATCCCATTTCTTTGCATCATAAATGATTTGAACGATGGCTACTAAAATACGAGCACTAGACATCATATCTGATCCGATACGAGCTTGCTTCTCTAATGAAAGTAAGACTTCCAGTGCATCATTGAATTTGAGGTCATTTTTTGCCATTTCCTTGCACTTGGGTATAGTTTCATCACATGTGCTGCTATAATCTACTTCCATTTTCACGATTCTGCCTCCCTCATATGTAGGAACGGCTGGATTAAATGTATCCATTTTTTCTGCAAACACAAATAAAGAAAAATATTAAAAATCGCCAAATCATTGTCATTAGGTTAAAAATTTTCATCAATTTTCCGTGAAAGTATAATAAATTCTGGACTTTCTTTATCCTTTATCAATAGCTATGCTTACCAGGCATGATTTCAGAATATTTTTAAGCTCTTAAACTGCTTATTCACTTAATTAATTAACAAAAAGTTGTGAGACTTGTGTAATGTTTTTAGAAATTATTAAATTCAGGGGGTTTGATCGTGCGGGGTTTTTTAAATTTAAAAACATTTCGACCGTTACTGTTTGACAAAGTCAACGGTTTTTTAAAATTTGAACTTCACATGCACTCAGCTTTAACGCAAAGAGATTCTCACCACTTTTTACCACACACGTGACTTCTGTAATATGTTAATTTGCGTTAAATAAGAACAGAATACCTTCATGATAAACATATTTTCATTTTTATTTCATTTGTTTTGCCATATTAATTTAATATAAGTTTTCATCTCTAATGTTCATTGTTATCATCATCAAAAAAAATTATCTCTTCTTCGATACTTCATATTAATTTCTTATTTATTTTACTTTATTTTTTTTTTTATCATAATCCTCATTGTTATGACTCTTAAATATGCGCAACTATAATTTATTTATTTATTTCGTTAATTTACATTGATTTGAATAAATTTTGGTAATTTTTTGGAAGATTTTTTTCTCTTAATAATGCAAACTTAAATTAAATGTTCTACAATTTTTATTTTTCTACAATCAGTTTTTTTTCGGTCATTTAAAATGAGATTCATGAGATAATTCTTGTCGCAAAAACTTAATTTCAATAGCTCTCAGTGCTTTTTTATTTTACTTCTTTTCAAATAAAAGATAAAACAATTTTTTTGATATTAATAAGTTTAACTTTTTGAAAATAAATATCTTTTAGAATTTCTTTCATTTCTTTTTTTTTGTATTAAACATTTCTAGTGTGATTAATTTTTTTAATATCTTTTTTAATTTCAATTTAAAGCTATGAGAGCTCATTATGTTATCAGTATATTTCATTCATAACTCAAAAAATGGATTTTCTTCTTTATTCGATTTTTGTGCGAATTTTATTTACCACGAAAATGTAAGGTGCTTAAAAGCCGAATTGAAGCAATGCAATTTTCCTCATCAACTTAGAATTTATTGAGCTTAACAACCATTCAGCACATGTCTCGCACAACTGTTAATATTGTATACATTTTGGCTGACTGGATTCTTTTAATAATTTGAACTACCCTGTTTTTTCGTTATAAGCTACTACTCGTTACTAAGCTGCTAGCTTAGTAAAGTTTTTTTTGAACTTCAAAATTTTTTGTAATCTTTACTAAGGGGCCGTTCAATTATTACGTTCGCATTTTATGGGGGAGGGGGGGGGGGGGTTGAAAAATGGGGGGGGGGGGGGGGGGGGTGTCAAGAAGTATGTAACGTTCAAACTGTCGTCTGTCTTTTAAAAAAAAAAGTTCACGAAAAAAAGTCGTTTTCTTGCGTAACGTAATAAAAGAACGGCCCCTAAGCTACTACCAAAAATAAAGTTTAATTAATCTTTTTCAACTTTCTAAGAATCAGTTTCAATGCATTATGACTACTCGTTACTAAGCTACTAGTGAGCCAAAAAAAATCACTTTTTTATTCTTCTAAGCTACTAGTGAGCCAAAAAAAATCACTTTTTTATTCTTCTAAGCTACTAGCTTATAGCAAAAAAACAAGGTAAGAATTTATCTAAATAATCCGATAAAAAAATTATCCGTCATTTAAATTTTGAAAATTATTTCAATTCAGTTAATTTTCAATTTTAAAAAAGTCGTTACAAATTTAACTATCAGTTGTGCCAAAAATGTGCAAATGTTATCGGATTCGCGGTGATTTCTATACATAATTTATCAAATTTTCTTAATGATGATTTTCATCGAATATAATAAAATGACTACTCTAGGCACATTGAAAATAAAATTGTTTTTTCACCATAATTCGTAATACTATTTTAAAAAATTGATAAGTTCTCATCGAGGCGTCACATTGAGAATAAAAATCTTTCATGCCATAGCTTCATTCATCTATTCAATATTTCATGAACTGTTTTTAACTTTCTTTTATGTTATTTCGTCCTCAGCTTCACAAAATAAAAAAAATAATCCTTTTTATTTGATACTGTCTTTTCTTATCCTCAAGCTTAAATGAGCTATTTTGGTCGTGTTGGGGGAAATAAAAAAAATCAATTTACATTTAATTTTCATTTTCTTTGTATTATTTTTTATGATCTTCTAAAATTTTCAAAAAACTTTAATTAAATCTCGATTAAGTACAATGTCACTCATAAAATGTTTATTTTACATCTTTTGTATTATTATTTGTTCCTTATTTTCATGGAGGTTCAAAAATTTCTTCGATTTTAATTTGCAAAAAACAACTATTTGTAATGTAATGTGAAGTTTGAGCCTTAATCAGCTTCAACAAATCCTTTCATATTTCATATTTCGTGTCCTAAATTCGATTCAATTTCATCATAATATATATAATCTTTTTTCTGTTTTCAGAAATTAAATTTTGTTGCTCTAACAATGTATATATATATATATATATATAGTTTCTATAGCAATTTCCGTGAGTCTGAAGATATTACCCATTTCTTGAGTATTTTCTCTCTTTAAACATGAGTTGAACTTTTGAGATGGATATAAATCAGTACAGAGATAGAAGATGAGATGTCAGATGAATAAGTCTTTGATGTATCATTTCCCTATATCCCAAAAGTTCGATTGCAATCTATTTAACATATTGTATTTTTCCTTAAGTAATTTTTCACGTTTAGTCTGTGACATTTTCTTACACATCCTCATGATTTCAAGATGACAAAAAAAAATATTTGTCTCTACAAAAGAATTTATAACAACCAATTTCAATAGACAGATATAGTAAGTCTTGCGAAAATTTTAAGGAACTGCAATCAAATGACAATTGCAGTCTTACTGGCCCTGTCAAATATTCATTGCATAAAAAACAGTACCTCCAGCTGTATTATTGTTATTGCTTTCTCCATCCTGACTCGACGGTATCATGTTATTAATACAATCTGTTTGTTGGCCTGTACTTGCTTCACCTTCAGGCACGCCACGCGTTTCGAGTGGTTTGTCTGTGTACATAAATTTATTGGTAGGCGTCGTTCCAACTCCTGATGATGAATTTTGTCGGGGTAATGTCGCATAATGAGGCGTTGCTGAATTTGGACGTACAACATGTAATTGCATACCAGGAATTGGATTCCATCCAACTGGAACTCTAATTGTTTGTTGCGTAACCTGCATTTCGTCAAAAATCTGTAAATCTGGATTTGTTACCATCGATTTACTTTCATTTACCTGTTGAAATTCAACCAACTGACGTTGATAAATGTTGTTCTCACCTCCTCCTCCCCCTCCTTCTCCAGCAATTCCATATGCGGTATATGTTCCATTAGCATCAGACTTATATGGTATCAACACCATTTGATGATAATTTCTTAACGGTGGTGGTGATTCTGGTCGTCTTGTGGGACTGCGTGCAAAATGACTAAATCGATTAATTTGTTGAGCATGTTGGATGGCATGAATGGCTGCAGTATGAGGTTGCTGTATTATTTTTTGATGAATGTGTCCAGGAATAATTGCTTGTTGAGTTTGCTGAACGGTCATGGTGTGACAATTTTGATAAATAGCTTCTCCATGATAACTATGCCGAGCATGTGCCGGCAAATGATAGTAATTTCCATATGCATCTCCAGTCACTTTCTTTACACCTTGTTGATCATTTGCCGTTTGAGGATAATAGCTCCATGATCCGCTATGTTGATGCTGATGAGCTCCACTTTGTTGTGGTTGTTGTGGCTGCTGCTGCTGCTGTTTTGAATTTGTCATTTGAAGTTGTCCCGTAGAAGCATTCGTCCTAGGTAATGTATTCGATTGTATTTGATTTCCACTATTGTTGTTATTTACCGCTTGATTATTGACTGCCGTAGTCGTTTGAATCTGTTGTGATAAATAACGGCTATAAATAATGTCATACGCACAAAAACAAAAGCTGTAGAAGAACTTACATTAGGCTGAGATAATTGATCCTGCATTTGTTGCAAAATCTCATTCGTTGATCCAAAACGAGGCTTAATACCGCGCACAGACGGTCTCTTATTAAATCCATAATCATTTTGTTCATCATCATCCGAATTGACACCCGATGGCGGTGCTGAATCTGAGCTATATCGTTTTTTAATTCGTTCCATTCTATTTGCTTCCTGCTGAGCAAATGACACCAATTCATCTTGCTCTTGTCCCGGGGTACAATTCATTGGCGTGCCAGCTATAACATCTGGTGCTACTTTCTTTCCATCTCCATCTTGAAGTGCTGCATCTATATCACCTAGTCAAATATTCACATGATTCATTTGATATGCAAATTTGAAATAGAAGAATGAAAGAAAGACTCACCTATACTATATTGATCACCCGTCTGGGAACTTGCTGTTGAAGTTCTATCACCTGGTTTTGAGGCAATATAATAGGAGAAATCATCTCGTTGTCCAGCAACACATGCTGTAAGCGATGCCAATGTATTAAATTGTCTCTTTGTTGTCTCACTACGAGGTGGTGGTGGTGGGGGATGATGAGAATGTCCTGTCTGCTGTATTTGAACTCCAATACCAAGATCAGGTCCACATCGACAATCTTGAATAACAATAGGATTTTCATCTGTCTCGGGAATTCTCTCTTGTCGTTTGTCTTTATTAAATAAGTCTGTAATCTTTTTATATGTAGAACCAGTTGAGCAGCTTGATGAACTAGATGCGGAGGATGATGGTGAGAAGCTCTTTTCGAATTTTACTTGTTGGGGTGTCTCTTCACCAGCCGGACTATCACGACGCTCTAATTCGTTTATATTATTAGGACTATTTCCTTCATTATCAAGCGGCTCATCAATGTCGCATGTCAATTGTCTAATTCTCTCCTCAAGTGATGTCGATTCTTTTGCTACAACCTTTTTCCTATACACATTTCCAATTTCAATTATTGGATGGAATGGATGAATAAATAAATAATCGAACGGATCAATAAACATTATAATCTGTATCAAATTACGTCTGAGATTAACTAGTATGGATATAGTATAGAATCTAATCTATCCGTACTAGCAGATTTTAAGAAATAAAGGACATACTTTGGCTCGTATTTGATAAGTGAACGTCTTAATGCATTTCTTTCTATGGATCGTTTAATAAGAGTATCTGTATCGGATGAGCTGACTTGACTCAAAGGCGTTGGACTAGTGCTTGTCGAGCTACTCGAACCAGCTGACGTAATCGTTTGTGATGCGGTTAAGAGATTTCCGGATCGTTTCGATTCCTCGAAAGCTTTTAGGGCTTCAGCCGTAAGTGCTGATGGTGGTGATTTTGCAGGGAACAATTGACGAACTGCCGAATTAGCTGTATTTGATGAAGCCACAGATGAAAATAGAACGAGAAAGAAAAGGATATGAAAGTTAATGATTTGAAGTTGGTGCTATAAAAAAAGTTTTTCAATTTACGTCTTAAAGCATTATGGAATAAGCTTGAATGTCTCTTCAGCGACATGTGCGTCACATAATCTGTCAATTGCTCAGATTTGGGCTTTCCTTCCTCATCCGTAGCATTCGCATCTGCTGTCTGATTCTCGCCTTCAGACTCTTCATTGAATCGAACAGATCGTCTTGAGCTCGTTTCCTCGTCTGATGTTGTACTGTTCATTTCGTCATTCTATTTTTGAAATCACACGAGAGAGAGAGAGAGAGAAAATTAGCAGGGAGCTAAGCAATTTGTGTTCATTTCCGGTATTAAAAATAAATTTCATCTGGTCATGAAAGAGATGAGAATGGGGGAATGTCTGATTAAATATTTACCTGAATTGAATCAGTCTTTCTGAGTTTTCCACCTTTCAGTATTCCCGTTATAGCCTGAGCAGTTCCATTAACATTAAACTTTGGTATAATTGTTGCATTCATATCATTCTTCATATTCTCAACAGACTGTGAGCTCACATAAATGCTACTACGTCCTTCGGGTAAAGCAGGCGGTTGCAAGGTTACAGCTTTTGGTGGCTTTGGTGGCGGTTGATCTGAATCTTCAGCTGTTTGAATAATCGTATGTTCAGTAACTCTAGTCATAGTGGTAGTTATAGTTTCAACAACATAAGAAGTATGCTTTTTTGCTTCAGGAATCACATTATCCACTGCTATTTTTATTTTTTCACGCACATTTTCAACCAATATTTTTAATATATTCATTTACAGAAGGGGGTAATTTTATCCACGCCACAAAAACAACATTAACAACATCATATAAGAAGCATAAGTGATGACAACAAAGATGACATATTGGGAAAAAAATCATGTCAGACACAAAATTCGTTTCTTTGATTTAATTTGTAGAAAAAATGGAAAAAATTAAGCAGCAAAAAATAAAATGTCTATAAAAAATCTATTCTATGAGGAACAAAAAGTTATGAACTATATTTATGAAAGTAATTTAAAGAATAATAAAGAATGAGGGAATTTTTTATCGCATTACGAAAGACTTTATGCACATTTTTGTAAAATAAATGATGAGATTTTTTTTTCATATTTTCCTCTTTATGGTTGACTGAAACGCAAAGGGTTCGTGTTTGTTTGCTTAATATGATTAAGTTTAAGTTACTTGAAGAATGATTGAGAGAAAAAAAAGCTTTTTAAGCTTGGAAAATTGTTGATTTAATGTTGATGACTCAAAATCTTAAAATGGCTTCAAACTTTTAAAATTCAATAGAAATTTAATTTTTGAAAATTTCAGGTTCAAATCGTTTTAAAAGATCTCTTGAAAACGATTTATTGTCCTTTTTCAGTCAATTGATTCCTCATGATTAACATAAAACAATTGAACATCAACACGACTTGCAAAACGATCAATTTACAAAAATGTGCCACACTCAATAGACTTCTATAATTAATTTTTCGTCTCTTTCGTTTTTTTCTACATTCAGAACTCAATTGGAATTAATAAAGACGGATTCTTTTTGGGGCCGTTCACTTATTACGTTACGCAAAAAAACGACTTTTTTCACCCCCCCCTCCCCTTCTTGTTACAATATGTTACAACTCACAACCCCCCCCCCCCCCCCCTGAACGTTCATAATTTATTTTATTTTGATAATTTTTTATATGTAGTTATTAAAAACATTTATAACAAAAACTATTTTAAAATCATTAAAAAGCTGGAAAATTTATAAAAAATGTTTTTGGTGTGAATTTGTAAACAAATTTATTTTGTGAAATTTTTTTTACAATTTTTCAAACCCCCCCCTCTCCCCTAAAATGCGAACGTATTAAGTGAACGGCCCCTTTACTTTTTTCCTTTTTATGCTTAAGAAGAATATTTTGTGTTTCCTTTTTTACGCACATTTTTCTCATCAAATATTGAAATATAAGCAGAATAAATTGTAAATATGCTTAGGATGGAAATATTCACGCACATACACGAGAATTCTCTGTAAGATGCTAATTTAAAGAATTTTTTTTCAGACGCTTAGGCATTTTTTACTGACATCCTGCTAATGCAATGAGAAATTCCTATCTTTATTTAAAAATTAGGAAATTAAACTACACAATTTAATTTTTTTTATTTCTTAAACTTGAAAGAGATAAAAGTGTGCACAAAAAGTTTATTTTTTGGGGTCGCTCGGATGTAAAGTAACTTTATAAATGATCATTATGGACATTGTCCTTCAAGCAACCCCCTAAAACGTCTGTACAGTTATTATTATCCATTTGAGTTCATTGATTCATTTGAGTTTCTCATATTTTTTTGTATTGCTCAATCAATAGCCAGATAATAAAATAATATTTTCAAAATAAAGATTAATCAAACAAAAGCAGCAGTTTGAAGTGAAAGAAATAAAAGTTTTTTTTTATACTAAGCTTAAAAAATTATAATAAGTAAAAAAAATCTTGCAGAATAAGGATAAGGGTCATGCGGTATGTTTATTTCTCTTTGTGGGTGGATATTTACAACATCAAAAAGACATTGGATGTCATATGCTCAATATATGTGAATGACTTTTTAATTGAATTTGCATTGAAAATCGGTTATGAAGAGACACGATATAAATAGGAGCAAAAACTGATATGAATGAACAATGATTCTCATACAAATACACAATCGTACTCATACACACAAAAAGAAAGCATCTCCATGCATTTATTTTTTTCGAATCTCATGAATTATGAATGGAGAGGATTATTTGTTCAGTTGTCATATTTGAAATGATGAAAATAATGCGCCATAATATTCTAGCCGAGTGTAAGTCTGTGGTCGTCAGTTTATTCCCCAAATAAATTCGATAAGTCTTACGACATGCTACAATTAATCTAGCACATTCATCTATCATCTGATTACTTTTGAGTTACGTGGCTAAAACTAGTGAGGCTAACCAATGCCCTAAGCTGAGAAGATCCCAGACAGACAACCATTAAATCTCAAAAGTATTGAAAAATGCAAACAGATATGAAAAGTTTTTGTGCTGGTTGTGTGTTGCTGATGAATGCAAAACAATTTTTTTAACCCAATATAATCATAAAAAGTTTGTTTTCTCAATTTTATGTGCTGTGCTCCCTTTCTCATCTTTAAAATCCAATTTGTAAAAAAAATAAAAAGATGTAAATTTAGCATGAAATAAAACTCATGTTTGTGTAAAGGATGTGATGTGTGACAAGTGGGCACGTAATGAGAGGAAAATAAATTTGATTCCCATGACCTTTAAGATTAACAATATGATCTCTTTCTCTCTCTGTCTCTTATTTTATCAAGCAAATTTTCATGATTTAAGGGTTTCCGCTTGCATTTTCTTCCAACGGATGGAATGTTGGTGGACTCTTGTGAAGAAAAAATTCCGTTCATGTTATCAAGAGCTTTGCGAGTTGAGACATTGAGAGGAATGAGGAATGGGGTTGATCATAAAAATATTGACTTTATGTGTATTTCGAATTCAAATCATGTAGCATTGTAGATAAGTTGATGATAAAATTATTTCATAAATTTATGAGCTGAATTCCTCTTGAAATGTCTTTGAAATATTTTAAATTCATGAGATCTTGAATCATGTGCTTTAAAGTTATAGATTATCTATGTTTTCCAAGGCGTGGAAACTATCCCAAATATCATATTTATCCCACATATCCCAAAAATATTCAAAAAATTCCTGAACATGTATGCACGATAATAAAGATATCCCAACGTATCCTTAGTGTTTTGGACGTGTAATTCCAGGATATGATTGGATATCTCAATTCTAATGCATACAGGCTCAGGGATTATTTTGAATAATTTTGGGATATTTGTGATAGTTTCCACGCCTTGATGTTTTCAGACTTTAAATTGCTTTTCTCACCCTCCAGTCATTCACACCATTCACGAACAAGTGAAAACATGGAAAAAAAGGATGAATGTCATGAAGGTAGGTAGCAGTAGTAATAGAAGAGAAAAAAGAGTCAACACGGGTCAAAATATGGAGGAAAGGATGATACGAAACAAATAATAATAAAATAAAAGCATAAGTCGGGACAAAAAGTAAACAGAACCAAACATAACGAGGGAAAAGACAGAAAAGTAAAATAGAATAGAACTGAACAGAACGCAGTGAGAGCAAAACTGTCTGATTTGTTTGCTTTTTTCTTCCTCTTTATACATTTTTAGAGGAATCGCTCATGAATACTGTCACGTTCGCAGATAAATATCATTGGAAAGGAAAGAAAAAAAACTTTTTACTTGTAAAAAATTTTTAACATTCGTGGTGGGCATTCATGAGCTTTTCATTCCAATTTGAAGCAAAATATTTACAGTAGCGCTCAAAATGATAAGGACAGCAAAATTTTTTTCACATTTTTATTAATTTTGACGCACAGGATTATCTAAATTTGCTGAAATTTGGACCAGTTATACAGTTTTAAATGTCCTTTTATGCAATTTATACTAATTGTACTTTAATTAAATATTTTTGAAAAAAACGGTAAAAAATCAAAATGGCTGCCGCTCAAAATGATAAGGACAGTAGATTATGTTAAGATTTTATTATATTAAGTAATATTATGGAACTTTTAAGACTTAAAACATTATGTTTGATGAATATTCTTTAAATAAATTTATAATTCACGCTTCTAGATGTAAGACTTCTTACTTAATTTTAGTGTTTAAAAATATGTGAAAATTTTGTCAATTTATGATAAATTGTCGTACAGAAACTTGTTTATTCTTTAGGTTAGCTACCAAAAATTATAGATAATTTGATTATCTATCAATTTATGATCAAACATTTAGATAATTGTTAATTAATGTGAATTTTTTTCAAAAATTATATTTTTCCTTTGCGAAATTTTTGTGAACTTAAGTCGACAATTTGAAAAAAAATTGTTAAATATTCGCAAAACAATGCTTAAATTAGTATATTTCTCTTCCATTTTAATTGTTTAATAACATATATCAAGCAATTGAACCACTTCGAAAGGATAAGTGACTAAGCAATCGTTCTCTTTCACCAACAAGACTTTTTGATATGGCAAAAATGAAAAATGTGTTGAAACCTAAAAAAATATGATTTACATAAGTGAAGTTTTAACATAAAATAATTAAATTTGGCTTTTTTAATCGAATAACACTCTATTTTGTATTCTATGAGTGCTAAATTTAACATTTTTACAAAAAAATATTTCTTCATATTTTTTCGTCTTGAGAAGCTCATAGAGAACGATTGCTTAGTCACTTATCCTTTCGAAGTGGTTCAATTGCTTGATATATGTTATTAAACAATTAAAATGGAAGAGAAATATACTAATTTAAGCATTGTTTTGCGAATATTTAATAATTTTTTTCAAATTGTCTACTTAAGTTCACAAAAATTTCGCAAAGGAAAAATAAAATTTTTGAAAAAATTACATTAATTAACAGTTATCTAAATGTTTGATCATAAATTGATAAATAATCAAATTATCTATAATTTTTGGTAGCTAACCTAAAGAATAAACAAGTTTCTGTACGACAATTTATCATAAATTGACAAAATTTTCACATATTTTTAAACACTAAAATTAAGTAAGAAGTCTTACATCTAGAAGCGTGAATTATAAATTTATTTAAAGAATATTCATCAAACATAATGTTTTAAGTCTTAAAAGTTCCATAATATTACTTAATATAATAAAATCTTAACATAATCTACTGTCCTTATCATTTTGAGCGGCAGCCATTTTGATTTTTTACCGTTTTTTTCAAAAATATTTAATTAAAGTACAATTAGTATAAATTGCATAAAAGGACATTTAAAACTGTATAACTGGTCCAAATTTCAGCAAATTTAGATAATCCTGTGCGTCAAAATTAATAAAAATGTGAAAAAAATTTTGCTGTCCTTATCATTTTGAGCGCTACTGTACTTTTTGTTTGTTTTATAAAAGCACGCACAACATAAAAATAAGAAAATAAAATCAAATCGATAAGAAATGGCGGAATAGCGCCAACATACCTTGCGAATCTTCAGTCTTTGTCGTTGTCGGTGTTGTAAGGAATTTAGGACGTTCCTCACCAGCTACAATTTCCTTCTGACCACGACGTTCAGGTGACGATTTTTGGATAGGAACAAGAGATCCAATCGTTAAGACATGCGGTGGTGGTGCAACTTCCATGGGTGATGCTTCTTCTGAACATTGTGAGTCACATTCTGCTTTATGTCATCGTAATGTTTGCGAAACAGCATAGAAAAGAAAAGAGCAAAATTATAGTGTCATTATATGAAAGATATATATTTTATGATTCAAGGTTTTTCACACAAATTTAAAATAGAGATTCCGAATGATTTTATCCGATGATTTATAGTACGTAACAAATCGAAGTTAATTGATATTGCATGAATGAGAAGGTTAAGGAAACTTCTGTGGTTACACTTTAAGATAATGTTTCAAAGAATAGCAAGAGAAAATCAATAGTTTGCAAATTCCATGAGAGAACTGAAAAAAATATTGGTTTAGTTCTAAAGTATTTTCTTCAAAAAAAAAAAACTAGAGCAAAGAATAGAAATAAAAAAAAAATCTCAAGAGATCTAAATAAATAAATTATTTTATGTTGACATAAAAGAAGAAGTGGCTTAAGTGGTGGTTCCCAGATTTCTATTAATTATAGGGGCCTCGTCACAAAAAAAATTGTACATGAGTGACGCTTTGTTATTCTTGATTATCTCTTTATCCTTAAAAGTGACAAACTTAAGAGTTACTTTTTTGAAAAGGGAATTAAAATCCCCATCTATTGTTGTACAATTCACTTCATGAAAAATTACAGTTACTCGAAAAAATCACTTTAACTGAGCGTCACTCACGTACAATTTTTGGGAATTTTGCTATATCTTCATTATTGTTTATTGATATATCTCCAAATGTATTTTTTTAGGTCCGAAATTCAATTCTGTTCTTTTTGAGTTTATAAAAAATTTAAAATTACTGCATTAACATACCCAAATGGACAAAATTAAGTTAATGAATAATTTCGGTTATAATTTCTTTGTTTACAAACAAAATCGAAAATGAAATTTGAAAAGTCACGAAAATATCACTCAATAATGATGTAAAAGCTCTTAAAATAGTCGGAACAGCTAATGCATCATCTACTTTTCGTATTCAAATCATAATATTTGGGATTAATGATTGAATAATTAAGAATTTTGAGAATTTAATTTTTGATGTTTTGTATGATAGTGTTGGTGAAAAATTCAAATTATTTTTTTCTGTTAAGCAAAAATCCTTAAAAAATGTCGAGGCCCATAGACATTTTTCATTCAAAGTCTCGACCAAGCATCATGTACAAAATAGAATCTCTAATAATAAAAGCATAATAATGAGAAACACCAGTTAAAGTCACACAATAGAAGGAGAATATCATTAGTGAAATTGAAACTTTTGTTAAAAGATAGACCGAGAAGAGTTCAGAATAGATGAATGTCTATGTCTTCTTATCCCCATTACATCCTCATCTATCATTTCGTTAAAAACGAGTGTACCATAATAATTAATGTATACGATTAAATTTTGACCAACTGTGGGTTGATAATGATATTTTAAGGGCTTTATAGAATCAACGAAAAAAATGGGTTTGGAGTTGTTTTCAAACAATCACAGATGATGCATTAATTTCTCATAATTTACAGCGTGGATCAGTATTGTCTAAACTTTTTTTTTGTTGTTGTTTGACGTTCACCTGGAAAAGGATGTATGTGAGCATCTCTAGCGAAAAAAAAGTTTCAAAGATAGAAGGCATGATGGTTATACAGCATTTTTTGTGCAGCTTCAAAAAGTTCTGCAATGAATTGACAATAAATTATGATGAATAAGGCTAAATTTTAAAGTATCGAGATGATTTTTGTGCTACTTATTTTCATCAACAATTGGGTATTCAAGCTTAACGTCATTTGTAAAGAACTTCTAAAACTTTATCAGAAAAGCCTTACATCATAAAATGTTGTGCATACATTAAGACATTTCTGGTATACATAAACTTAATAAGAAAACTATAAATTTACTACGAAAAGCCCTCAACCTTCCATCTTCTTTACATCCATTGTAGATATACGCCAATGTATCCTATACGGTTCAAAAACACTAAAATAGATTAAGGTACTGATGCTATACCTTCCGAATGCTTTCTTAATTTAGATGCTAATAATAAAGTAAGCACACCTTAGTGCTCTTCCAAATGTCATTGTTCATTGTAGAGAAGAAAAAACTATTTGTAACCCAGCATTGTAGCCGAAGAAAGGAGATTTTACTTTCCCTCCATCGTCATGAGAATAACAAATCATAAACATCATTTGAAGTGAATATAAAGAAGGTCATGAAAGAATCTGGGTTAATGCAATGACGAAAAGTAAAATACATACATACAAATCGTAAGAATAGAACATCATAAAAAGAGATAGAATTTGAGATAAAAATTCAATAGTTGTGCTACTTGTATGGCAACATAAACAGATGAGAATCGACAATGAGTGAAAGAGAAGTCAAAATGCCGAAATAGAATACCAACCCTCCCATTTAATGCTGTTTTAGTTCATTTTATTTTTTTTTTCGCTTTCTTCTTCTTTTTCTTCTTATTTGAGCATTCTTAAACTCAGTTGGATGTGGCACATTAAATTTCTATACGTCATATAGCACAATATGTATCGTAAAGGAATCACACAAAAGGAGAATAAGTGGTAAAAAATGACTGTGAAAAGATGAACGTAGAAGGAGAATGTAAAATTAAATAAAAAATTGCGTAAGGTCCTTACAAATACACATTGCAATGTTATTGATGCTATTATGCCTGACCCTCCTAAATAATCTTCTCTCCTAAATGTTTTATTTTTATATTTTTCTTATTTTTAAAGCATACAAAATTTTCTTTAAATTAATGAAAGGGGATATTAAAGGATAATCATTTTTAGGAGGGTTGATGCGGCACAAAAAAAAACAGCAATTTTGTTGTTTAACGTGAACAAAACCAGGCAGTGAGTGTGTACAGTATAAATTGTGTCATTAGGGGTAATATTTTTATGTTTCTTTTATTTATGTTAGGATGGATGTTGATGTTCAGTTGGAAGGAAGAAGAAATCGTTTAGCGAATGGAAATTGTTAATGTCGCGTGCAAGGTTGGACAAGAGCGAGAAAGAGATGAAAATTAAACCCAGATTAAGAGGAATTTAAAGATCCATTCGAATTATTAAAGTTCATCCAATAAATTTTCTTGCTTCTTGCCAACATTGTAAGATGACACGATAGAAGAGTTAATTAAAGTTGTAACAAGAAGACGAAAAGATTTAAAAAGTTTTCATTTGACACGATAAAGATTTTTCATAAAATGCCAAAAAAGTTGTTTTAAACATTTTACATTTATAAGAAGTGACAGCGGCTTCGTTTCATATTTTCATCATATTTTTCGTTAATTTAATTTCCCGTCATAAATTTTTATCCGGTCGACAGACTTTCTTGAAAAATTAATATTTTTAAATTTAAAATGACGGTTTAATTGAAACAGAAACTGATTAAATCCTTTAGTTTATATTTTATTGGAACTTACATTGACATGGGCTTAAAGAAACTTTCTGTTTGCTCTTGAAAGGTCGTTAAGAAGTCAAGATACCGCATGACTACGTTACAAGTTCTTTGTAACCAGCTCGACTATTGGGATTGATTCTCATCTGGGAATTGACATCATTATATTAAATCTGTTACTAAGTTCATACACTCTTTTGTTAGGTCTTGATGGAATTCAAAAAAACATTTATCGAGTCTTTTGTTTTAATAAAAATGAGCATAATTACTTTACCAAAGGACGAAAACGTCGATTAATTGGAAAAGTCTTGTGTAAGAAGCCTTACTCTCTTTTGTGATTGTTCCATACAAATATTGTTCTTTGATGAATGCTAAAGGTAGAACTTTTTTGAAAGTTCTGCTATATTTTTGGATAATTGCAATTTTTCAAGTCCTATCTTCGTAAAAAAACTATAAAATTTCCAGCAGCAATCTAAATGTTAATTACAAAAATTAGCAATCAGAAGCATTTCCAAGACTGATGAAATTACATTCCACAAGTTTGAGCCTCAAATTTGCATAATTACTACAAAGTTCATCAAGAATTTTAAGGCATAAAGTTTGTCATGTCTCTAAATGTACGCAGTCATTTTTAACTCAGGAAAGCTTAAAACTTTTTCTAAATTAAAATCGATTCTCTCCCGAACAGATAAAACTAGTTCAGAACTTTTCATGTTTCCTCAAGTTCAAGTTCTGATTTTCTTATTATTCCTTTACATTTCAGCACAACTCTTTTACATTAAACAAGTACACAATAAAAATATTTCTTGTCTTCTCGCGAAAGGCGGAAGCAAACCTCGAAGGAAAACCTTCTATGTACTTAGCTTTAATTAAGTTTCTTTCTTGCTTGCTTTTTATAGCTTCACATTTTCCTAATTATTGTACATGTAAAGTTTTTTTTATGTAAGGTAAAAATAATAATTTTTCTTCCTTTTGAATCAGAGCTTATGCTTTCTCCCTTTGTAAGAAACAAACGACGTCTAATATGATAAGTGTTCAGTCATGTAGAAAATGAAGATCAAAGTTATAGGATAATGATGATGTCGAGTATCTTTAAAGAACCGCTTAAATCAGAAGCGACAATTATAATTCCTACATATATATAGTATCATGTGCATGAATGCGAATGTAAAAAAAACGGAAGGTGATGTAATTCAGTCTCATCATGCAAGCTTTAGCCTTCATTATACATATTTATGTGTATATAATTTTGTCTGCATTTCATAAATTAATAATATGTATAATGTTATTATGAAGAATCACTCGAAGCAATCAACGTATCAATGCACGCGTTTATGTAAAAGGTATATAAATATGCCTGTCTGTTTATAATTCTATTTATATATCTATCTAAGTATCACTTATTCATCTACACATTTAAAAAAAGAAGATATTCAGTGTGAGAAAAATTATGAAAATTTTCTCGCCCGTAATCTGTTAAAGTCATAACAATGGAACACAGAGGCAGATTCATAGAAGAAAGAAAAAATGGTAAGAAGAGAAAAAGAAACAAAGTGAAGTTGGAATGAAGTGTCTGACGTATCACAAAAACTGAAAAAAAGTCATCGAAAATTGATCTGAAGAGGAGTTACCATAGAATCAA